AAACCCTTTTTCCATTCCCCTGTTTGTTCACCTTCAACTTTACTATTGCCCTGTTCGAATACCGAACAAACCACCGAATGACCAGACCACCCGTATGCGGAGTGTGCTGCTTGTTAACCTCTGTCACCCCTGTCAGCACTTTATTATCACCCCTAACCGCAACATTCTAAACGGTCGGCTGGGTGGTCGTTGTTCGTATGTGCGAGCACGTGAAGGTGGCCATCTTGAGCCATGTATGCAGGCAGCGGTGTTTGGTTGTCGAGTGCGTGAAACTAAAATCGGACACTTAACCGCCCGAACACCGCTAAACTTCCACCTTCACTGCATTCGCCTATCTTTCGTCTGGCAAGAACACCGTTCGGTGGGAGCTTACTCCTGAATGAGGGACACCTAACCAGCATACGGACAGATGTCTCCATTTGGTATTTTGTGTAATTCTGTACTCCCGAAAGAGACCGATCTCTCGGAACAATTCCATAGAACTATTCTGGGCATCAGCATCGTGTGCGGTCGGTCAGAAATATACCCTGGTGGCGTTTCGGTTGCGTTCATGGGATCTGAACGCTTTTTGGATACGTTGGGCGTATATTGTATGTATTTTGGGGTGTAATAACTGTACAATGTTCTGTAATTTAATTTATATGTTTGTTTTCAGCAGTCCTCTCTCAGTAGAAAATGTGGGAGGAATTTCCCTGCTATGTCACTCTCGAAACCTCTTGCATGGGGAATTGCATAAAAGGCCATGTGTGGCTTCCAATAAATAAGTTCCTCCCCAGCTTAGCGCCTTGTCTCATGTTTGTGGGAGAAAGCTATACCAGCTATATCACTACTTTGGATTATCGCTACTTGGGATTATTGTCACATCACCCACACGAGAGGGAACAGAACATCTCCTGCGGCGAAACCCCTCTTCCGTTGGGGTGTCTGCCACAGTCTAGTTCAGTTCTGGGAAAAAAGGTAGATTCCTATATGTTGCAGAACTACAACTACCATGATGCTTTGCCAGTCTTCTAGAAAGTCCTGTCACTGTATATAGAGATCACTGTTGCTTTGTCTAGATATCACTGTTACTCTATATCTAGACATTCCTGCCAGTTTGCATCTAGATATCAATGTCACTGTATCTAGATATTATTACTACTCTGTATGTAGATATCACTGTATCTAAATATGGCTGTTGCTCTTCTAGATATCATTGTCACTCTGAGTTGAGATTTCACTTTCACTTTGTCTAGAAATGACTGTACTGTGTGTGAAATTCACTTTGAATGTCAGTGCAGATATCACTTTTAGTGTGTCTAGTTATCACTATTACTCTGTCTCTAGATACAGTGAGGGAAACAATTAGTTGATCCCCTGATGATTTTGAACATGTGCCCACTAACAAAGAAATGATCAGTCTATAATTTTAATAGGTAGGTGTATTTTAACAGTGAGAGATAGAATAACAAAAAAAAAAAAAATTCAGAAAACGCACACCAAAAAAGCTATAAATTGATTTGCATGTCAATGAGTGAAATACGTATTTAACCCCTTTGACTTAGTACTTGGTGGCAAAACCCTTGTTGGCAATCACAGAGGCCAGATGTTGGCCACCAGATTTGCACACATCTCAGGAGGGATTTTGTCCCACTGCTCTTTGCAGATCCTCTCCAAGTCATTAAGGTTTCGGAGCTGATGTTTGGCAACTCAAACCTTGAGCTCCCTCCACAGATTTTCTGTGGGAAGGACCTTAATGTGCTTCTTGTTGAGCCACTTCTTTGTTGCCTTGGCTGTGTGTTTTGGGTCATTGTCATGCTGAAAAACCCATCCACAACCAATTTTCAATGCCCTGGCTAAGGGAAGGAATAAAAGTGGAAAAGCGAATGGCGCTTACACAATAAAAGGAACACACAGGTAGTGGTGGAATGAAAAGTGTTCCCCAACACCTTAGATACAAAATGTAAGGTAAAAGATATATTGACATTAAATATATAAATGCCAAAAAAGAAGGAAGTTCTCATAAGGGAAGGAAGTTCTCACCCAAGATTTGACAGTACATGGCCCTGTTCATTGTCCCTTTGATGCGATACAGTTGTCCCATCCCCTTAGCAGAAAAACACCCACAAAGCATAATGTTTCCACTCCCATGTTTGACGGTGGGGATGGTGTTCTTGGGGTCACAGGCAGCATTACTCCTCCTCCAAACACGGCGAGTTGTTTTACCTTCTCACCAAGGTGCTTGGCGATGATCTTGTAGCCCATTCCAGCCTTGTGTAGGTCTACAATCTTGTTCTTGACATCCTTGGACAGCTCTTTGGTCTTGGCCATGGTGGAGAGTTTGGAATCTGTCTGATTGCTTCTGTGGACAGGTGTCTTTGTTAAAGGTAATGAGCTGAGATTAGGAGCACTTCCTTTAAAAGAGTGCTCCTAATCTCAGCTCGTTACCTGTATAAAAGATAACTGGGAGCCAGAAATCTTGCTGATTGATAGGGGATCAAATACTTATTTTACTCATTGACATGCAAATCAATGTATAACTTTTTTGACATGCATTTTTCTTTTTTTTTCTTTTTTTTGTTATTCTATCCCTCACTGTTAAAATACACCTACCATTAAAATTATAAACTGATCGTTTGTTTGTCCGTGGCCAAACGTTCACAATCAGCAGGGGGGTCAAATATTCTTTTCCCTCACTGTACCACAGTTACTCTCTGTCTAGATATCTTTACCGCTTTAAATCTAGATATCGCTTTCACCTGTGTGTGCATATCACTGGAACTGTGTTTATATATCACTGTCATTTATATTACTATCACCCTGTGTGTGTATATCACTTTTGCTGTCTAGATTCAATATTACCTCTATGTCTTGATATCCTTGACACTTTGTATGTATTTATCACTGTCACTGTTTAGCACTGTTAATCTTTGTGTACATTTCACTGGCACTGTGTGTAGATATTACTGTCACTGTACACTGATCATCAGCCATGTTAAAACCACTGACATGTTAAGTAAAAACATTAATTATATCGTTACAATGGCACCTGTCAATGGGTGGGATATGTTAGGCAGCAAGTGAACAGTCAGTTCTTGAATTTTATGTGTTGGAAGCAGGGAGAATGAGCAAAGGAAAATATCTGAGTGACTTTGACAATGGTCAAATAGTGATGGCTAGACGACTGGGTCAGAACAACTCCAGAGCGGCAAGTCTTGTGGGGTGTTCCCGGTATACAGTGGTTAGTACCTACCAACAGCGGAGCAAAGAAGGGCCACCGATGATCAGGGTCATGGACACCCAAGGCTAATTGATGCATGTGGGGAGAGAAGGCTAGCCTATTTGGGCCGATTACATAGAAGAGCTACTGTAGTTCAAATTGCTAAAAAAAAAAAACATGCAAAGTGCATCACATTTTGCTGCATATGGGGCTACGTAGCAGCAGACCAGTCAGAATTCCCATGAAGAGCCCTGTCCACTGCCATAGCGCCTTCAATGGGGACATGAGCATCAGACCTGGACCATGGAGCAATGGAAGAAGGTTGCCTGGTCTAATAAATTACATTTTCTTTTTGGATGACCGGGTGCTTGTGCATCTTTGAACTGGGGAAGAAATGGCAGCAGGATTGTACTTTGGGAAGAAGGCAAAGGTGCTATACTTTGGGCAATGTTCTACTGGGATACCTTGGGTCCTGTCATTCATGTACATGTTTTGACACATACCACCTACTTAGAGATTGTTGCAGACTGCATACACCCCTTCATGGCAATGGTGTTCCCTGATGGAAGTGGCCTCTTCCATCAATTTGTGCAGAATAATGCACACTGCCACACTGCAAATATTGTTTAGTAATGGTTTGAGGAACATGACAAAGAGTTCAAGGTGTTGCCTTGGCCTCCAAATTCAACACATTTCAATCTGATTGAGCATCTGTGGGATGTGCTGTAACAACATGGAGCCCCACCTTGTAACTTGCAGGACTTAAAGGATCTCTTACTAATGTCTTGGTGCCCGATACCACAGGACATTTAGGACTTGTGGAATCCATGCCTCGATGCATGAGTGCAGTATGAGGGGGACATACACAATATTAAACAGGTGTTTTAATGTGGTGGCTGATCAGTGAATATCACTGTAACCCTGTATATGGATATCAGAATACATTGAATTGTGTATCTGCTTTTCTTGCTAGTTAAAGGATTTCTCTATAATTCGGTTTAAACCATTCATTGTCACCCCTAATTAGGCTCCCTTGCACAACAGTACACATAATTGTGTAATATTTGAGATTTTGAACTTGTTGCCCTTCATAATTAATAGCAAGTAATAAACAGTCACTTTAGCAATGTGTTAATATGTTGCATCCATTCTGTAACTAAGGAAAGCATAGCGACATATTGTCAACATTCCCCTGTCTGTGCTGCCATTCTCTCACCTTCTACGTATAGAAAGATTGATATATTATTATTTATTAATGCAGGATACACTTGCCCTCAAATATATATACTTGCCCAGTGCCTTGTATAAATGCTAACATTTGTTTATTTTAAATAACTTTTTACTGAAAGGTGCAATATAGCAATGTTACAATATTATACACCACTGATGTTTGCTCAATGTATTTTTTTTATTAACAGATAAACATTCCATATCAAATAAACATTAAAGATATTGCTCTTGGTCCAGTGAATATTATATGCAATCGATGACCTTGAGAAATGTACACTTTGTACAGAAATTGTGCTGTAAAATGGTCAACATGTATTTTATTTTCTGTGCTGTGTGATTCCATACTGTCTGTATAGGAACTGCAGCCTCTGTCTCTCTGAATGGCACGTTGGCTGATATGGGTGATGGGGGAGGCTGGAGTAAGTTTCGAGCCTTGGTTGTCATGGTGTCTCATCCAGGCTGTGACGACACAACCAGCGTCTCCTAGCGAGAGGAGAGAGTCAGAGCAGCTTCATTCCCCCCTCCCTTTCATCCCACACAGACAGCATCCTACATGGTGCATCCCCCATCTCTTTCATCTTAGCTGATCACCTCCCTTTTCAACCTACAACATCACCAACTCTTTGCAGTATCTTCTACCTCTCACCCTGCATGCAGGGTAATCCCTTACAAATTGTGCAACACACAGGCATACAGATGTAGCCCTTGTACTTCTGTACACCTTTTTTCAACTACTACACTGCATATGCTTTGAACTGGGTATAACTCCACCTTTTGCATCATGCCCTGGGCAGTCCTAGCCACCTTTGACTCCTTATTCTGAGCACTTCCTAGACACTGTGAATAAATCAAACCTGCAGCATTCATTGCTCCCTTCCATACACTCCCTGATAAGCATCCTTGTGTAACCCAAACAGGCTGTGATCATTTTTTCCAATCAGCACATATGCACATCACTCACCCCCACTCTCTGCATTGAGCATACCCTCATTCAGTTGCCAGTCTACCTCCACATCTCTGCATTTCCCCTGTCTCCAGTCTCTCCACCCTCACGATGGAGCCTCTCCACCCATTTCCCAGCCTCTCGTTCTACTCACAGACACCTCGATCCATTACTGAACACAGGGATTAGGCAGACCTGACATGGGAAATGGGCACAGGACAAGGGGCAGTGCCAGGAACAGACTGGGGAACCAAGTGACGCGCATATAACAGGAGCAGAAGAGATAGAGGAGGGGGAAGCAGGAGAGACGGAGAGACAGATAGAGAAACAGAAGAGAGACAGAAACACAGGAAAGCTATTGAAGAGAGAATAACTGGAAGACTAACATTGAAATCTGACTGGGACTGACAAGAGTTAAAATGTTGAAAGGATGTGACAGAACTGATAGACAAGGGTTGATGAGAACAGGAGAGGTAGACATCGAGTAGAAAGAAGGCATGGAAATCCATGAGTGTCGTGGGACACCATATATATGTAGAGAACACATGTGACATTCTAGTGGGCATCATTTACAAGGCATTTACAAGGAGGGATTCCTCTGCAGAACTCAGAAGAAAAAAAGTCTCCATGTCCTAACTGGTACTTGGACCAACTGTGTGATGGGGGATCCATTCTCACCATCAAGGGGACCTAGTCTACACCAGTGGTTCATTAAGAGAACGTCGTAGGCATGATACCTTACTAACAGAGAAATGGCACTTTTATGGTGGGCACTAATCTGGTGCCATCATGCCCAGCAGATTCTATATGCCAATCCTACTTTCAAGATCACTTCATTGAACAATGTCACTAAGGAGGAAATTCCCACTCAAATACCAACTACCCCTCCACCATCCACCCCTTCATCTACTCTACCTGCCCTATCACTTCCATTTCCTTCCACCTTTTTGCCAGTTTCTTCCACTTCTGTTCCAGTTTATTCACCCTCCCCTCCAGTCTCTTTTCCTTTTCCATCCACCACCTTTCCATCCACCACTTTTCCATCCACCATGACTCAGTCTTCTCCTGCTATATCCTCTTCACCTGACCCAGACCAGCCTGATGAGGACGGTCGTAGGGCAGCTCTAAACTTCCTGCATTCAGGTAACCTTCTTTTCTTATCTGAATCCAACTGCTCAAAGAGGTTTGAACTCACTGACCTGAGAGGTTCCCCAACGGACGCAGTTCTTTATCACACAAGAGGTCCAAGGGACTCCTTGCTGCATGCCACTAACTTCCTCAACATGATATTCCAGGCCAGTGACATGCGTGAATCCAGCATAAGGGAGGATATGGAATGGTACCATGCGCTAGTAAGAAGCCTGGCAGGAGGGGACCCACAAATCCGCCGGGCACTACTTTCCATTACTACCCACCCAATGTCCTCCAAACCCCAGCTGCTTCTTCAGGCCACAAAAGAGGGCCAAGAAATTTTATTACGAGACCTCTCCTCACCCCATTACCATAAAAAACACAGAACAGGTTGGGAGTTTTGGGGCTCCTTTCAGGCTAATCCGTCTCTTACCAAGGAAATCTTGCTGAATGACCTCCAGAGCCTGGAAACTCCAAAGTGGAGCAGGGGAGACAGCTATATTGTGAACATCAGCCATGTTCAGTGGTCCAAACCTTTTCTGGAGTGTGAGGGAGGACGCTTTGTGCAGGGATGGATGGTGTCTCTCTCCACAGCATTTTTTGGACTGAAGCCTGACTTGAGTCCAGAGTTTAAGTAAGTGAGCAAGTCGTGGATGATGGGATATGTCATGGATGATGGAATTTCTTGGAAGCATAAGCAACGAAAGGGACATGGAATGGAGGTTGAATGCATGTTTGTATCTGCAGTGAGTGAATTTTGGATATATGTGACTGCTGTCTATGAATGATATTGAAATATGAACTTGTATTCTGCTAATGTATTCACAGATCACTTGGTGATATTTTACAAATGTAGCTCCTTTTTTGCTCAGTAAATGCCCATTTTTATTTTATCTCACCTGTCCATCTTGTCTCATGGCCTCCCCTTACCCTCCCCCCACCCTCAGATTAGTCTCACACACACTGATTTCTGTATCACTCGCATCCGCCCTCAAACTGAGCAGCTGTTAAGCTGCAAATCTCCCTACGCCAGCTCTCAGTGAGCAGATGGCATAGATATGCCAAGTTCTCTTTGCCCAGGCATATTGCTGCCCTTACCTCTTTCCATAACCTAGCTGTAACTCCATGTTTGTTTAACCCCTTAAAAAATAATATTCTTCCATTCACATTTTGTTTTCCTCCATCTATTCATAAATAAATGCTGTCGTCACCATGCACATTTAAACGTGTTCACTATACTCCTAAACCCATTAATTTGTGATTGAGAACTCTATCTTCAGAATCCCTTAATTTGTTGTTACAGTTATCACCACATCTCACTATAACATATCTTGTAAAATCAAGTCACTAATATTCTATTTTCCATAGTCATTTCAAAATTCGTCATTCCAGTCAGTACCTTGGTGTCCTTCACCCACTCACTAATTATATATCTGTATCCTGGTCTCACCCATTGGTGTCTTGTATACTGCCTTTAGCTATAAATGTCCATCTATACGTCTTGTTCCGCCCAGAATCCCTTGTGTATCTAGATTCGAGTCTAACCAAACAGTAACCCTGTACGCTACCCTCAAACTGCAGAATTTCAAAATACTAACCTCACCCACAAGCACCTTCATCTACCCAGAATTTCAGCCTCATTAGCAACTCCTTAATCTGTCCTCAGCAATTTTTACCTAGGTGATAGTGACTCAGTCGTAGATATCTGCATTGCCTTGACATACCTTGCAGAAACTCTGTATCACTTCTTGGGCTGTCAGCATCTCTACATATTTCCCTGAACAATTAACACATCTGTATAACATGAACATTGTCTCACACATCATTATCTCCGCATGCTACTGTTACGCACTTCTGCCTACCACAATTATAAGTAAAAAAAAATTTGTGTAATACACACATAGAAAAATATACAAATTAATAGCTTGTCCTAACGATGATCCCCACTAAGCTAGTCTATATATTTTAGCTCCCTTTTACCATAACAGACAGAACCTTGGAGAGACTGGTTCCACCTATACAGTCCATTAAATATATTAGAAGCTTCCTTTACATTAGAACTACAGTATCCTTGGATGACTGTCTCAGAGGCCTTGTCAGTCAGGTATGGCTGATGTTCTACCAGGCACAGTGATTAATAGGTTCATATCTATACGACCATTTTAGACGTCAAAAGATGGACATTATGTGCATATGAATCAAGGGACTCTAAGAACCGGAAAAACAAAAAAAACCTAACAGCATGACCTGTATGTAGTTATCACTCAGAAAATAAATATCGGACCATTTGTGGTATTTTAGAAAAACCCCAACGCACTGTCAAATCAATTGATCCCATCCATAGGAGTAGTCTAGAACCAAAAATACAAGACAGACTCTGTGTTCACAAGGGCTACAATAAACTAGCGTTTTATAATCCTTGGCGGTTGTGATATATCTTATACCATTCTAGAGAGACACACGAGGGGGGGTCTATATCTATATTACCTTTCTATGCTTAAAGTGTTTAAGGCCAGTGTACTTTGCTTATGACTCCATAAGTCTAAGAGGTTCAACTTGAGCTGCATCCAAACATGGACTTCTTTACATGTTGCTGACAGCCATCAACATCATGTAGTTTCATTGGTATAGAAAGCAGTGGTGGGATGAGGTACATGAATTTCCCTCAGAAAATCTAGGGGATGAGGTAGATGAGAGGGGAATATCCTCCCAGTAATGATGCTGTAGCTTTAAAACTATATGTTTTGCCGTTTAAGAAAAATGAGATAAACAAAACATTTGTCTTTTTCTCTACGTATCTTTTAAAACTATTATATTTCAACAAGAAGATGCACAAATCTAAATGGAAAGACCTTTATTGAATAACAGTTTTTTGGAGGGGGTGAGAAATGCACATTTATATTTACTGAAAGCTTAGGTAACTTAGCATATATAGGCCTCTCCAGTATAGTATGTAATTTTGCCTATATAAAGTTACATGATTTAACATTTTAAAGGTGCTAGGTTTGTTATAACAGGTGCCATCCCCTGATTTTCTTTGGTTCCAATATCTATATCTAGCTTCATAAACAGATCAATATTCGTACATTGGCTGTTTATCTTTCTCTAAACCACAAGTATGGGAAATTCTAACTGTACATCCTTGCCTATGTTCACTCCTTTACTACATATACTGTATACTTTATTGATGTATAATGATCAATTATGAAACTCAAACCAGATACCAGCATATGAATATTGCCCTGATTTCAAATAATTCCATACAGAGTTGGTAATGCCCCAGCAGGAGGGTAAAAAATCCAAGGTCTCTAAGGGCTCATTTACAAGGTTATCACAATTTGTTAATAGCCAGCCACTAGTTCCTAAAATTGCATGTGGCTACTTTAGCAAGTAGTGACTGTTTACCGTCTGCCAAATTTCAGAAATTGCGATATGGATTTTCCAGTTGCTGATACTAAAAGTCAGTTATTAAGCTCATATCTTCTTCTTAGTGACTGGTTTTGCACCATATCATTAATCTGCCCTCTCCCCCTTTTACCCCATGTTTCTATGTTTATAAAACCATCATTAGTTGTTTCAAAAATATTCTTCTTAGTATCTCCATATTAAAAAATAAAATAAAAAATGTATTCCTTATTTTTGGAGAGCAGTGGTAAGTTCACGTTCAAGATATTACATAAGACAGGTGACATTAAATATATCAACAGAGATATGCATAAATTGTCAATATGTGCTGCGCTTTTTTTTTCGTGAAGAAAAGAAACATAAAAAACAGGCTTGGTAAACATGTCTGGTCAGAGGTAAGTATACAAGCTAACAACCTATTTAAACATTCCAGATAAGCAAATGCTAAATTTAGTTTTGTCGCTTGCTCATTAATATCTAGCATGCTCAAGAACCGCATCTCAGCTTGATCAGCCTATGCCACTAAGAGTCCAGTGTAGGTAAGTTAGTTCGGAGCCTGGCTCTACTTCTGCTTTCCCCACCCTCACCTCTCAATGCAGAGATAGGCCCGTCTGTGGTGTGATCTCCAGCAATAGTCCCGTATGCCAGAATCGCTAGCTCTCATCTGCTCAGTCCTTGTTGGGAGACAGTGACTGTCTAGGATTCCCCACTGTCTCAGCAGGAGGGTCAAATGCTTGCAGAAGCCTTACAGTGTGTGGATGGCAGTGATGAGGGTGGATCTCCACATGGTCACCACACCCAGACGAAGGACGGCGTGCTGGTGTGGCAGCTGTAGCAGGCAGCAGTGTAGGCGAGGTAGGTAAAGGTGCTCGGTGGGCAATTTGATTGCAGAAGTTCTGGCATAGCTGATCAAATATCGCTTCAAAGCTTTCCTTCCAAGTTTGGCTTCCCAAATGCAACTGGCTTGGGGTATGCTGTGGTGCGGCGGTCATCTTAGGATCGCCATGTGGTTGCGGGTGAGACGGGACTCTGAGACCTGCTGCTATGAGGAAGTAGCTTGCCCAAGCGGGTCTGTAGGGGGGTGACAGGGCTGAGTAGAAGTCGCTATGAACCAGTCAGGAGAGCGTCCGCCTCTCCCAACCAACAAGCCTTTAGACTCTGTATGCCGCAAGTCCAGATTATGGGGTGCCATGCTAGGTTTGTGCACGCTAGTGCCAGCAAATGATTCCCTGGTTGTTAATTGGTCTGCAATGCGTCTTTCAGCTTTCAGGGTAATTTCTCTACTTGGAAACAGTTTAATGGTTCAAGCTTGCAGAAGCTGTTAGCAAACAGATCCGGCCATCTTAAGAGTCAGGCCCCGCCCCGTATCTCCATATTCTTATCTTAGAAGTCTAAATAAGCTATTCTGTTACAAAATCCATTTCTCCTTCAATCAGAAGATATACTCCAAGAAAAGTTCACTTAAAAGATCTTTCTGAGGGAATGGTCCTACCCGCACATATCGTGGCTCGGGAGAGTGCAGGTCATAAAAATGAACTTCCTTCCGCGCCTCTTATACCTCTTTCAGGCCATCCCCACTGTCATACCAGGCCCCTTCTTTAACACACTCAGAAAAGAAATGATAAAATACGTATGGAACGGGAGGAGGCCCAGAGTGAAATTTTCCACACTGACACGTCCTAAAGACAAAGGGGGACTAGCCCTTCCAGACTTCCACCAGTACTACGTAGCCACACACCTGCAGAGAATCATGGAGTGGTCTAAAGACGGAGTTCACAAACTATGGAAGACAGTGGAAGAGGCAGAAGCAGGCAGACCGATCTCGGGGCTTCCCTGGGGCCGAGACACAACCGATAGAGGTGACATGTCCATATACACGAGACACACTATGAGAGTTTGGAGGAAGGCCGCAAAGAAAGGGAATATGGCACCGTACCCCTCCCCCCTCTTGCCCCTGACACACAACGAGGACTTCCCGCCGGGTCTAGACCCTGGAACCCTCAAACACATCTTCCCAGACAGTACCCCACGCCTACACCACTTCCTTCAAGGTGGGAAATGTAAAACACTAACGGACTTGATGGGAGAGACGCCCCCGACCTTTATGCACCGCTTCCGACATGCCCAACTGACCAATTACATCCACTCCCTACCGCAGGGACCAGCACTGGCCAGAGACCAGACCACGATAGAAGTGGTCAGCTCACACCCAGACCCGCTCCCGCATGGAGTGTCCTTCTTATATTCCATGCTCCAATCAGAAACCCCGTACGAGACACCACTATTCATGGGAAAATGGGAAACAGCCCTGGGTAACACACTAACGGAAGCAGAATGGGAAACCATCTGCTACCTTACACACCACTGTTCCACTCACAGCAAAACACAGGAAACGGCCTACAAGCTTCTAACACATTGGTATAGGACACCACATCTCCTTCATCACGTAAACCCAGACCACTCCAGACTCTGCTGGAGATGTGAAAGAGAGGTGGGCACCACAAAACACATCTGGTGGGATTGCGCGTTGATCCAACCATACTGGAAGAGGATACACAAAATGCTAGAGAAGTTCGCGGACGCGCCCCCCCCCTGGAACCGGCAGCGATGCTCCTACACCACACAACAGTTCCCCGATCCAAATACAAAAAATCCATGACCATTAGAATACTTAACGTGGCCAAACGAGTGCTCCCCCAATTCTGGAAACAAACAGTTACACCTCCACTTTCGACCTGGTTTAGCCAAATGGAAGAGCTAAGGTCAATAGAGGAACTGACCATGACGACCAACACTACACCCACTACCTACATGAGCATCTGGACGCACTGGATTCTAGAGACGGCAAAAGAAGAGTTCCAATTAGAACTCAGGCCTAACACTAACGGGAATCACGACACAGACAGATAGTACTCAGAACACACACCACAGACGACGCTAGATGGACGACAGACGAACTGGACGGAACTACCCCCCCCCCTCCTTCCTTTCTTCCCACCCAGACACATTCCCCCCCTCTTGCCCCCTGCGAAATACCAGAGCATCATCATTGACTGAATCATCCCCACCGCACCCATAGCGACAAGGGAAAACATATTTGGGAACGATCAACGAACACGAACTGGTACTTACATCCAGACCGGCCCGGGAAGACACCCCAAAGCCAAAACATGCGAACACCTGAAGGAACCCTGGACAGGCCCAGCATTAACACGGCTAATACAGTATCCACACGCCCAAGGTAAGGGTACCCTTTACCCGCAATACCACCATTCCCCTGGTTAAACACGGGAAACACCGATAGTAATAACGGGGGTAAACACAAGCCCACCACGGTCGATGACACATAGCTAAGAACACAGGACCCGATGAGACGCCGTGGACAGGGACCATAGGGGTGGCCTACAAACACTGACACCTAATCAAAGAATGATTAATCTGGTTCAAGGACGATTACAAAGCATTATTTTCACTCAGTTCATGAAAACGTTACTTAATTTATAGTCCCAAACAAATGTAGATACCAGAAAATGGGGACCTGCGAGTCCTTCTGTGATGGGGCCTGCGAGCCTAATTTGTTACCTTTTATAATAACATGCAATGGAGACCTGCGCGTCTCACCGCAAATTTAAATACACAAAATGAATAAAAATCATATTCACAAAAAAAAAAAAAAAAAGATCTTTCTGAATCAGGATTACTGGTTTACTGGTTTATTTTTCAGTGATAAACTCGTAAATCTTATAAATCGTATCGACGTTTCAGCCAATCTCACTTTTTTCAAGACTGTCTTGAAAAAAGTCTGGGATCAGACTAAAATGTAGATTTGATTTTTATGTGTATATTTATGTATTAATTTTACATAATTATGTAATTTTATTCATTATAAGTTGATGGACCTGACTGATAACCCTGGGAGAAAGTCCAGAGAATTTAATTTGCAGACCTTTTCACCGATGATATCATCGCCATTATACTTTTTACTGCTCTAAAACACTTATGTTTGTGATCAGCGTTGTCTCACGAGTACAATAGTACAAGTTTTGTGGGGTTTTGTAACTATACAAGAGTTCTGAGGAGTGCTCTGATTGCTGTTTGTGCCACTGTGCTATGTGCAGTGGAGGTGTCTGCTATTGGGTCCAAAGGTAGGTTAAGGTCTCCGCCAAGGATAAGGATACCTTCTGTGAAAGTTGCTAGTTTCAGGAGCGTTCTGCGCAGGAACTTAACCTGGTTCGTATTTGGGGCGTAAATTGAGGCGAACGTATAGGTTTTCCGGGAGATTGTTCCCTTCACGAATATGTATCTTCCGTCTGTGTCTTTGAGCGTTTCAGAGTGGGAGAATTGTAGATTGGTGCTTAGGAGAATCGAGACTCCAGCTTTTCGTGTGGTTTGGTGGCTACCATGGTAGGTGGTATTGTAGTGTTTGTTTTGTATTCTATGGGTGTCGGTGTCCCTGAGGTGCGTTTCCTGTAGAAGGGCAAATGATACTCGGCGGCCTTTTAAGTCTTGTAGGAGGTGAGACCTTTTTTCGGGTGCGTTCCGACCTCTGCAGTTTTGTGTTATTATATGGAATGGTGCGGGTGTGCATGCCATTTGGTGTGGGTGGGTTGTGTTATTCTGTATGGGCGGGGATGGGGGCCCAGGTATGGGTTAAAGGCGAGGGTGGGTAGTAGAGGGTGTTTTAGGGTTTGGTAGGGATGTAGAGAGGGTTACCTCGGAGCTCCCGTGGCCGCGTCCCACGCCCGCCTTCCCCCCCGTCTCCTGTTCCCTGGGGGTCTCTTGTGGGTTGTGCAGTTAGATAGTGCTTGTTATGGGCTTGTGTGCTGTTGCCTGTTTTGTTTCGTGGGTGTCTGGGGTATTAGTCCCTGTAGGGATAAGGTACCTGTGTAACCGAGTTGGATGGCAATGCCGAACCGCCACTTAGTGTTAATTAGGGCAGCAAGGCAGTGTTCCCCTCCGTGGTCTGTGTCTACACAGGTGTAGGTCAGGGTCGTGGTCTCGCGTTTCTATCATATACCACCGGAGTTGTGGTGGCGTGTTTGAGTGGAGGGGTTGGTCCAAGTGTACCCGTCTTGTGGGCTATCCGTCTCATTGGTGATTGGTTGCATGTTGAACGCTAAGGCTCAGTGTGGCGGTCTTGAGGGTTTAGTATGGGCGCGGGTGAGCAGTCCGTATGGCGGTGTCCCACTTTAATGGTAATAGTGATTCGGAGTGCAGCTTTTGGGTGGGGTCGTCTGGCCTTAGTGATTGTTTGGGGGTGGTCCAGTCTTGGGATGTTGCGTGGGCCCCCCTGAGCGTGCGGTCTTTTTGCTGGTTGTACCTGGGTGTGTAGGTTTGGTGTTTCTGCGGTAATAGTGTCCCGTCTCCAAAGTCACTCCCCTTCTTTATGTTGCATTGGGTCTCGTAACCGCGATGTCCCCTCTTGTAAGAGTTTCCCCTTCCCCCACTTGTGGTTCCCATCCTTGCCAGTCCCCTGCTCCCTCCGTCTTCCCCTCACCACCCTAGTCCATTCCGTCCTTAGGTGCTTCAGCAGTGGTCGGTCCCCTGAGCTTCCCCCCCATGTTTTGTCATTACTTTTTGCTCTCATAGGGGATCCTAGGGTGGGGGTCTGGGAGTTTGCTTCGTCCTACGGGAGTGTGCTCGTGTGGGGGGCGTGGGGTGTCTTCACTGGATATTATTAGTAAGGTTGACATGGGGGTCAGATATTGTTACATGCTTGAAGGGACTGTTGCCAACGGTGGGGGGGCACAGCCCCCTGCTGCCCGTAGAGCTATTTTCGGTCACCGTACCCCGCCGCTCACTTTATTCCAGGCAGCGTGATGCTATGACAGCTGGCCTATTGGCCTGCACAACACATTTTGGTTACAAATTAAGTTATCAGTACACATATGTCGGCATACCGGGGAGGCCCAGTTGCCGCTAGACCCACCCCCTCCCCAGGCGCCAGGTGGGGGCGAGGGGCACACTTCATTGCTGCCTGTGGAACCGGTTTCAGTCACCACAGCGCGCCGTATATGTTATCGTGGGCAATGTGGTATCACGTCAACCGGATTATGGAGTTGCGAGATAAATTTCAGTTACTTGTCGAGTCATCAGTACCCATACATCGACAGACTAGGGGTTTTGGCTGGCCTATTAGCGGTGTGTTGTCGCCATCCTAGTGTCCTGGGGTTCAGCAGTGGGAGTGCATGGGATCTTTGTGTATTCCCCTAATGTGTGTCTGAGCAAATCATGTAAACTTCAAACCTTAGAACTTTAAACCATTAAAACCATTAAAACATCAGAGCATTAGCTACTTTAGTCCTTGACCCAGTTTCCTCCGGTGTGAGCAGGGTTCATGTCTTGCGCCTTCCCGCCCTACCGATAGTCCCCCCACCCCAAATGCAGCCTAGTTCTTTTAAATTCGGGAGGCTTATATCGCAGTCTTTAACCCCTATCTTTAAGCCCCTTGCTCGGTGCATGCGGTGTAGTTAGTGTATAGTGTATCACTTATCTGGGTTCTTGGCGGTAGTTGCAGCTGTCTGGTATCCAGTTGTTTCCCGGGCATGTAGGGTTGTCTGCAGTCTCTCAAGGGGGGGTGGTTGTATCGGGGGGGGGGCTCCCATCTGACTCTACTCCTCGGGTTCCGCCGGGTCCTGGCGTCTGCGGACATTGGGGCGTCTTGGCTGCTCCTCCACACGGTGACGCTGTTGTTGTGGCGTGTGGGGTCCAGGTCTCTGCTCTAAAGGTCCAAGGATCCAGTTTTGTAACTATACAAAACCCCATAAAACTTGTACTATTGTACTCGTGAGACAACGCTGATCACAAACATAAGTGTTTTAGAGCAGTAAAAAGTATAATGGCGATGATATCATCGGTGAAAAGGCAGGTTTTTTGTGAAAAATTTAAAAAACTAATATGAACACTAACTTTGGACAGGGTTTGAGACTACTAAAAAAGACTGGATACTAGACATATGCAATTCGTTTCGTTACGAATGTACATTCAGACGAATTTTGTGCAATTTGGTCATTCGGATGCTTACGAATGTCCGAAGTGCCGAAGTTCGGTAGTTCGGAAGTGCCGAACCGAATTGTCGAAGTGCCGAAGTGCTTCAGATTTCTGAAAAGTGGCAAAACAAGAGAGGGAGGGAAAATTATGTGAATGATGACAGGAATCTTGACCAATAAGCTAATTTCTGGCACTGGGAGCCCTATAGATGTGTAAGTGGTTGTGGTGGCAGTCCGGGCACTGGGAGCCGGATAGATGTGTAAGTGGTTGTGGTGGCAATCCTGGCACTGGGAGCACTACAAATGTGTAAGTTGTTGTGGTGGCAGTCCTGGCACTGGGACTGCCACCACAACCACTTACACATCTGTAGGCTCCCATTGCTTGGACTGCCATCACAACCACTTACACATCTATAGGGCTCCCACCTCCCAGTGCTAGGAGTGCCACCACAACCACTTACACATTTATAGGGCTCCTGCCTCCCAGTGCCAAGACTGCCACCACAACCACTTACACATCTATAGGGCTCCCAGTGCTCAGACTGCAACCACAACCACTTACACATCTGTAGGGCTCCCAGTGCCAGGACTGCCACCACAACCACTTACACATCTATAGGGCTCCACATCCTGGACTGCCACCACAACCACTTACTAGACATGTGCAATTCGTTTCATGCAATTCGTACATTCGGATGCTTATTAAGTGCCACAGTGCCGAATTACTGAAGTTCTGAACTGCCGAAGTTCCGAATTGCCAAAGTTCGGTAGTTCGGAAGTGCCGAACCGAATGCCATTGGTCCAAATTGCCAAAGCAGACAAATTGTTTTACTTACCCAAATTTCCGAACCAAATTTTTTGCTCATGCACATCCCTACTGGATACTCCATTTTAAATTCCCTGTGTTGTCTACATAGAAACACAGAATGATGGCAGATAAGTTCCATTCGGCACATCTAGTCTGCCCAATTTTCTAAATACTTTCATTAGTTCCTGACCTTATCTTAAGTCTAGGATAGCCTTATGCCTATCCCATGCATGCTTAAACTCCTTCAATGTGTTAACCTCTACCACTTCAGCTGGAAGGCTATTCCATGCATCCACATGCATCTACTTTTGCAAATGGTATGGTTTAATGTGGTAATTTTCATTCCTGGGCTGCCAAACGGTCTCTAATGCAACATAGGCCCAACAAACCAATTTGCCAAATTTCAATGTGTAAAAACTGAAATGGACAAACTTTTTATTTAATCCTGTAACTTTTAAAAACACCATGTAACCTATACATGAGGGGCATCGTTGTGCCTGTGGGAAATCACAGCATATAAATGTGTTTTTTTGCAATAAAAGTCAGAAATCTCAAAATCCAAAAACTGATTTCATGGAGGTGGCTTCACCAGGTACTGTGCCCCTCCACGCCGCAACATACACACAGCCACCAAACATGTATGAATAAGGACATGACACTTTATTATGACAGAACACAACTATTTATTTAACAACATATTGCTACTATTTACACACACCATTAACACACAGACACATGCACACAGATATACAAACTGACACACAGATACACACACTGGCACATCCACATACTCAGATATAAACGTAGTGGCACATATACACACACACTCAGATACACACACTGGCATATACACACACTCAGATACACACACTGGCACATCCACACACAAATAAAAGCACTGGCAGATACACTCACAGATAAACGTACTGGCACATACACACACACACTCTGATACACACACTCGCATATACACATACTCAGATACACACACTGGCACATACACACACTGGCATAAAAACACACACACACACACTCTGATACACAAACTGGCACATACACACACACTCAGATAAACAAACTGGCAAAAACACACACAAACACACACTCAGATACACACACTGCCACATACACACACACTCAGATTCACACACAGTCACTCAGAAAAACACACCAACATACAATCTGACATACACACACTCAGATACACACTGACACACAGATACACACATTGGCACATGCACACAGATATACATTGACACACAGATTTACAAACTGAAACACATACACAGATACACACACTGGCAGTCAGGATTCTGTTTGTCTGACTGAATCTGTATCATTTGTTTGGAAGCGTTTAGTAATATCCATATGCAAGCCAACATAAAGCACAGGAATTATTTATCAAAGACCGCATAGCGACTAAAAATAAACCAAATGCTTCCGACAGAATGCACATTCGCAAATTTTTATTCACTTGCTTTTTGCAAGTGAATTCATCACTTTTATTGCTGCCAGCAGAGTGTAAAAACTTTCACCAGCGTGAGAGTTAAAGGACCACTATAGTGCCAGGAAAACATACTTGTTTTCCTGGCACTATAGTGCCCTGAGGGTGCCCTTGTACATATTTTTTGTTATATACTAAACGCTGAGGATTGCACCCAGGCAAGGATAGATTGTTTTTGAATATTAAAGGGTGAGTGCCAAGGTTCTCTGTTTTGTTATATTTATATATATATATATATATATATATATATACGTCATACTAAGTGTATTTTTTATTAATATATACATATATTAATATTAAAATACACTTAGAGTAAAATAACACACTTATGTATATTATATATAATAACTATATATATTGTGTGTGTGTGTATATATATATATATATATATAAATAAAAATAAATAATTAAAAACAAAATGTAAAAATAATAATAATTTTTTTAAATATATGTAATTTGTTCTAACTGTATTTTGATATTAAAATATATATATATGTGTGTATATATATATATATATATCTCAAAATATTTTTTATATTTTTTTAATTCTTTATTTTATTCGTGCATAGAGGTAACAAGCAGTTTTGCACTGTCACGACAGCGGGTGCAAACATAAAAGAAACATGCAGTAACAGTAATGTGGCATAAGGAACATTGCACATTTTTTATATAAACAAAATTAAGTCACTACAATTGTTATGTGATTGTCAGATTACAGGCTATGCATGTCAACATCCAGTACAGGTTTTTAACTGCTTAATTAGATTTAACCATGCTTAATAAAATTTTACCCTTTCTCATCATGCGGGGCATTTGAGTATCAGGCACAATTTTATTATAACATAAACAGGTTTAACAGTGTAGCTTTGTCTGTAAGTATGTATTTATGTTGTGAACAAGCTTGGTCAGAACGTGGGTTAAGTTGGTAGCTCACGGTTAATACAGGTATACATTGCTATGCAGGTAGATTGTGCATATTTTTATGGTTAATATGCTAGGCTAGTGTGATTTTATTAGACACTGATGTGTAGGATCTATGTATAAGAAGCTGGTGAAGCGTCAGCGTTTATAAGACTGATATAGCTATAGAAGAGAGAATTTTCGTTGCTAGCTATACAGGGAGTGCAGAATTATTAGGCAAGTTGTATTTTTGAGGATTAATTTTATTATTGAACAACAACCATGTTCTCAATGAACCCAAAAAACTCATTAATATCAAAGCTGAATATTTTTGGAAGTAGTTTTTAGTTTGTTTTTAGTTATAGCTATGTTAGGGGGATATCTGTGTGTGCAGGTGACTATTACTGTGCATAATTATTAGGCAACTTAACAAAAAACAAATATATACCCATTTCAATTATTTATTATTACCAGTGAAACCAATATAACATCTCAACATTCACAAATATACATTTCTGACATTCAAAAACAAAACAAAAACAAATCAGTGACCAATATAGCCACCTTTCTTTGCAAGGACACTCAAAAGCCTGCCATCCATGGATTCTGTCAGTGTTTTCATCTGTTCACCATCAACATTGCGTGCAGCAGCAACCACAGCCTCCCAGACACTGTTCAGAGAGGTGTACTGTTTTCCCTCCTTGTAAATCTCACATTTGATGATGGACCACAGGTTCTCAATGGGGTTCAGATCAGGTGAACAAGGAGGCCATGTCATTAGATTTTCTTCTTTTATACCCTTTCTTGCCAGCCACGCTGTGGAGTACTTGGACGCGTGTGATGGAGCATTGTCCTGCATGAAAATCATGTTTTTCTTGAAGGATGCAGACTTCTTCCTGTACCACTGCTTGAAGAAGGTGTCTTCCAGGAACTGGCAGTAGGACTGGGAGTTGAGCTTGACTCCATCCTCAACCCGAAAAGGCCCCACAAGCTCATCTTTGATGATACCAGCCCAAACCAGTACTCCACCTCCACCTTGCTGGCGTCTGAGTCGGACTGGAGCTCTCTGCCCTTTACCAATCCAGCCACGGGCCCATCCATCTGGCCCATCAAGACTCACTCTCATTTCATCAGTCCATAAAACCTTAGAAAAATCAGTCTTGAGATATTTCTTGGCCCAGTCTTGACGTTTCAGCTTGTGTGTCTTGTTCAGTGGTGGTCGTCTTTCAGCCTTTCTTACCTTGGCCATGTCTCTGAGTATTGCACACCTTGTGCTTTTGGGCACTCCAGTGATGTTGCATCTCTGAAATATGGCCAAACTGGTGACAAGTGGCATCGTGGCAGCTGCACGCTTGACTTTTCTCAGTTCATGGGCAGTTATTTTGCGCCTTGGTTTTTCCACATGCTTCTTGCGACCATGTTGACTATTTTGAATGAAACGCTTGATTGTTCGATGATCACGCTTCAGAAGCTTTGCAATTTTAAGAGTGCTGCATCCCTCTGCAAGATATCTCACTATTTTTGACTTTTCTGAGCCTGTCAAGTCCTTCTTTTGACCCATTTTGCCAAAGGAAAGGAAGTTGCCTAATAATTATGCACACCTGATATAGGGTGTTGATGTCATTAGACCACACCCCTTCTCATTACAGAGATGCACATCACCTAATATGCTTAATTGGTAGTAGGCTTTCGAGCCTATACAGCTTGGAGTAAGACCACATGCATAAAGAGGATGATGTGGTCAAAATACTCATTTGCCTAATAATTCTGCACTCCCTGTAGTGTGAGTAAGCCTGTGTGTACAATGGGCTATTTACATTTAGCAGTGTCCATGTGGGGTTGTCAGGGCTCGGACCGTTGTCAGGCTTCAGGAGGTGGGCTGATGAATGTGTTGTGCGCCTTCCTAAGCCTATGCCCCGTGCTTGCCTCAGTGGAGAGTCCGTTTCCAGGTCTGTTTTGCCAGTGCCTCTTTCCGGTATGCGGGAACGTGGCTTGCCCTGTTCGCGTTGCGAGCTCTGTGTGCAGCATGACAGGTCTCTGTCTCTTCGGCTCCGGGCTTTGTAGGGAGCTAGTGCCCTCTGTCCGTGGATCCCCCTCCATCGGGAGGCCGGATCGTGGGTCCCCGGGGTTTCCGGCTTGCGGTCTTCCCTGTGGGTGGTTGGACTGCGGCCTGGAGTTTCCTCCAGTTGGGCCCCCGGCCTAGAAGAGGGACAGGCGTCCGCTGCTGTGTGGTAGGTAGGCTCAGTTTCGGTAGGGGCAGGCCGGAGTCCCCGCTTGGCTATGCGGTCCCAGAAGGCTTGGCAAATAGCCTCAAACCGGGCGTCAAAGGCCTCTCCCCAGCTTTGGTCCGTCTGGCTTACTGGGCTGTGCTGGGGTTGCGCTGTGGCGGCCATCTTGAGGGTGCCTCGTGGCTCCCCCAGGTTTTCCGGTCAGGCCCCACCGGTCCAAGGGCGGGGGGTAGGAGTTAGGAGGTACGCTGAGCCTGTGTTCTAGTTCTCTAGCGAGGAAAGCAGCCGCCTCTCCTCGGTTCGATCCCCAGTAGGCCTTAGCAGGTTTTTAGGGTTCCCGGCTATTGTTAGGCGAGATTCGGGTGTCAGTCGGTTCCTCCGGGTGTCCCCTCCTCATTTAGCATCCTCCTGATAGTAGACGTGCCGGTTTTTGGGGGTTCCTACCCTCAAATAAGCAGTTTTGGTCAGGAGCATGGTTCCTGTAAGTCTGATCAGCCTGGAAGCCAGGCTCCGCCCCCCCCTATATATATCAAAATACACTTAGAATGAAATATATATATATATATATATATATATCTATGTATATATAAATAAATAAAAATAATACAAAATAAACTTATGTCCATATACATAATTAAATAAATAATTTCATAAATAGACATGTAGACTTCAAATATATGAATATGTATATATATTTAAATTCTACATGCATATTTATGTAATATTTTTACATAATAAAGTAATTTTATTGATTGCAATTGGGGGGACCTGCCTGACAACCCAGGCCAAAAGTCCAGAGAATTTAATTTTCTAGCACTATATTTAGCCCTGTAACTTTCCATGACACCCTAAAACCTGTACATGGGGGGTACTGTTTTACTTGGAAGACTTCGCTGAACACAAATATTAGTGTTTCAAAACAGTAAAACATATCACAGTGATGATATTGTCAGTGAAAGTGAATTTGTTTGCATTTTTCACACACAACTGGCACTTTCACTGATGATATCATTGTTGTTATACATTTGACTATTTTGAAACACTAATATTTGTGTTCAGCGAAGTCTCCCGAGTATAACAGTACGGCTCGCAAGACTTCGACAGAGCAGAGCATCTGGGCAGTATATTTCAAGTGTGCTGGGCCCCCTGCAGCATACAGGTAGCGGGAGGGCTGCACCATGCCACAGGACCCCTGGCTCCAGACCCCCTGGCTCCAGACAATGTGATCTCCCCCCTCCATGGCCACAGGTGAGACACAGGGAGGGGGGAATAAAACAAGACAATTAATGGATGGAGAAAAAAAACTGTATGCTTTTCTCCCCTCATTTTGCATACATTTGCATATATTTACATACACTAACATTTGCACAATCTATACACTAACATTTACACACTCTATACACTAACATTTACACACACTATACACTAACATTTGCACAATCTATACACTAACATTTACACACACTATACACTAACATTTACACACACTATACACTAACATTTGCACAATCTATACACTAACATTTACACACTCTATACACTAACATTTACACACACTATACACTAACATTTACACACACTATTCACTAACATTTACACACACTATTCACTAACATGTATACAAACTATACACTAACATATACACACTATTCACTAAAATTTACACACACTATTCACTAACATTTACACACACTATTCACTAACATTTACACACACTATTCACTAACATGTATACAAAATATACACTAACATATACACACTATTCACTAAAATTTACACACACTATTCACTAACATTTATACAAACTATACACTAACATATACACACACTATTCACTAAAATTTATACACACTACATCCTTACACAAACCTACACTCTGCAGTCACTAAACACACTACATCCTTACACAAACACACACTCTGGAGTCACTACACACACTACTTCCCAACACAAACACACTCTGCAGTACCTACACAAACACACACACTTTGCAGTCACTACACACACTACATCCACTACACTAACACAGTCTGCAGTCACTATACACACATTAAATACTTACACAAACACACACTATGTAGTCACTATACACACACACTACATCGACTACACAAAGACACACTCTGCGTCCACACACTGTATTCACTAAACACTACACCCACTACACATACTCTGCATTCACTACACACACACACTACATCCACTACACAAACACACATTCTGCATTCACTATACACATCACATTTAATGCACACAAACACACATACACACTCTGCATTCACTATAAACACACACTACATCCACTACAAAAACACACACTCTGCATCTAATATATACCTCATACATTACACAAATGTACAATCTGCATCCACTATACACACTGCATCCGTTAAACACACACCGCATCCACTTTACACACGAACTCTGCATCCACTGCACACATTCTACATCCACTATACACACACCAGAATCAGTACAGACACTGCATCCCTGTGGGCGGATTCAGGGGGGGGCAGAACTTTGGGTGGACTCGGGTGCAGGCACCGGGGGGCCCAGACCTTGAGCTGTGTCAGGGGCTCCAAAATTTCTGATGGCAGCCCTGTTGAGAGCCTATGGCAGCCCAGGAATGATAATTACCCCCATGATGGCATACCATTTGCAAAAGAAGACAAGCCAAGGTATTGCAAATGGGGTATGTTCAGTCCTTTTTTAGTAGCCATTTAGTCACAAACACTGGCCAAAGTTAGTGTTCATATTAGTTTTATGCATTTTTAACACACAAACAAATACAAATGCTAACTTTGGCCAGTGTTTGTGACTAAGTGGCAACTAAAAAAGACTGGACATACCCTATATTGAATACCCTGGGTTGTCTACTTTAAAAAAAAAAAAAAAATGTACATGTGAGGTTTGATTCAGAGATTTATGACAGATAACAGTGTTACAATGTCATTATTGATACATTTAAAAAATATATATTTTGAAACAGCAATGTCCTACTTGTACTTATAGCCCTACAACTTTAAAAAAAAAAAAGCTAACAACATTTTAACATTTGGGTATTTCTAAACTCAGGACAAAATTTAGAAACTACTTAGCACAGGCTGGTTTGGTGGTTGAAGATGCAGAACAGATTTTGGGGGTCAAAGTTAGAAAAAGTTTTTTTTTTTTTGTTTTTTTTCATCATATTTTATAATTTTTTTTATAGTAAATTATATGATGTGATGAAAATAATGGTATCTTTAGAAATACTGTTTAATGGTGAGAAAAAAAGTATATAATATGTGTGGGTACAGTAAATGAGTAAGAAGAAAATTACAGCTAAACACAAACACTGCAGAAATGTAAAAACTGCCCTGGTCCTTAACGGTAAGAAGATTGAAAAATGGTCTGGTCACTAAGGGGTTAATCTGTGTCCAGATCTGATGCCCCCAGGCTCAGATGTAATTAATTTGCTTCGGATTTCAACTGTCTGACGATGTTTGGTGTGGTTGTAATTTGGGCCAAGATCAAGCCCATTTGGTGCCTGATTTACAAAACCTGGACGTTGTTACATAACTACATAGTGACATAGCTGAACAGAGATGTACGTCTACCAAGTTCAGCCTTTTCATATTTGTTTTTGCTGTTGATCGAAAAGAAGACAAAAAAGCCACTTCCAATTTTGCAACAAACTAGGAAAAAAATTCCTTCTTGACCCCAGAATGGCAGTCAGATATCTACTTGGATCAAGCAACTATTACCCCACTAATCAAAAATTATATCCCTGTATGTTATGTTTTTGCAAGTATTTAAACAATTGCAGTTTAAACATCTGTGTAGACTCTGATAAAACCATATCTTCGGGCAAAGCATTCCACATCCTTATTGTTCTTAATGTAAAAAATCCTTTCCTTTGCCTTAGACTAAATCTCCTTTCTGTCATATTCTATATGTGTGACCTTGTGTCCTATGTATATCCTGTTTATGAATAGACTCCCAGACAATGGTTTATATTGGCCCAGAATATATTTGTATAATGCTTTCATGTATCCTCAAAGCAGGGCCGCCATCAGGGCATGACAACCATAAAGGTTGTCATGGGCCCGGCGGTCCTGGGGGGCCCGGACTGCTCAGGGCGTCCCGGGCCCCACATTAGCTATGTGCACACATATATAGCGATTAACGCTATATATGTGTGCACTGCGGGCCCTTCGCTACCTGTATTCTGCAGGCGGCCCAGCACACTTTAAATATACTGCCCAGCTACTCTGCTCTGTCGAAGTCTCGCGTGCGACGTGGTCGTCAGAGCGTTGCCATGGCAACGCTCCGCACAACTCGCGAGACTTCGACAGAGCAGAGCATCTGGGCAGTATATTTCAAGTGTGCTGGGCCCCCTGCAGAATACAGGTAGCGGGAGGGCTGCACCATGCCACAGGAACCCCTGGCACCAGGGCTCCAGACAATGTGATCTCCCCTCTCCATGGCCACCGGTGAGACACAGGGAGGGGGGGAATAAAACAAGACAATTAATGGATGGAGAAAAAAAACTGTAGGCTTTTCTCCCCACATTTTGCAGCCCCATACATTTACACACACTATACACTAACATTTACACACACGATACACTAACATTTACACACTCTGTACACTAACATTTACACACACTATACAGTAACATTTACACACACTATTCACTAACATTTATACTAGCTATACACTAAAATTTACACACATTATTCACTAAAATTTACACACTATTTACTAACATTTATACAAACTATACACTAACATATACACACACTATTCACTAAAATTTACACACACTACATCCTTACACAAACATACACTCTGCAGTCACTAAACACACTTCATCCTTACACAAACACACACTCTGGAGTCACTAAACACACTACATCCTTACACAAACACACACTCTGGAGTCACTACACAAACACACACACACACTCTGCAGTCACTACACACACTACATCCTTACACAAACACACACTCTGCAGTCACTACACACTACTTCCTAACACAAACACACTCTGCAGTACCGACACAAACACACACACCTTGCAGTCACTACACGCACTACACAGTCTGCAGTCACTATACACACATTAAATACTTACACAAACACACACTATGTAGTCACTATACACACTCATCGACTACACAAAGACATACTCTGCATCCACACACTGTATTCACTAAACACTACATCCACTACACACACTCTGCATTCACTACACTCACACACTACATCCACTACACAAACACACACTCTGCATTCACTATACACATCACATTTAATGCACACAAACACTACATCCACTACACAAACACATATACACACTACATCCACTACACAAACACATATACACACTCTGCATTCACTATAAACACACACTACATCCACTACACAAACACACACTCTGCATCTAATATACACCTCATACATTACACAAATGTACAATCTGCATCCACAGGCCGACCTTGCGCTGTGTCAGGGGCCCCAAAATTTCTGATGGCAGCCCTGCCTCAAAGGCACCGTTTTTCCAAACTAAACAGATTAAAATTGTTAATGTTTCTTCATAACTAAAATGCTCCATTCCTTTTATTAATTGCAGACAAAATATAATATACTGTTTAGTTTATGCCCTGACTTGCCAAGTTCTGGGTATTCTATACTTCATGTCTTTGCCTTACCATTTTCTTATTCTCGCTTCTTGACCGGTAGTTTTATTTACTAAAGTGAGAATTCATAGTGAATTTCAAATTTAAGGCCAGAGTAGGTGAACTGAGCATAGCTGACCTTTTTATTCCTGTTTGGCTACAATCACCTTAAATTTGACATTAATTTTGAATTTACCTTGAATTCTCACTTTATAAATAGCCCTGTTATTTTTTTTCCAGACCATTAATTTTGTTTTTTGTAGGTTGTCTTTACAATCCCCAATTCCATTAGATCTTTGTCCTTCACTGTCTCTCATCTAATCAAGATAAAATGTCCCACATACAGTTCCATTTTGCAAAACAAAGTACTTGCATGATGGACTACACTTAGAAGCCTAGACTGGCTTTAAAAAAATTCAACTCTTATTTGTGCTGTTTCAAATTCAACCTCAAATACAGATGCAGACACAGATATAACGAATTACAGGCTGCCAATAGCATTCGGCTGTCTGACGCCTTTCATGCCATATGGACTTAGTCATAGACTGGCTAGAATTTTTAGGGCACCTTCATGAACCAATATCTAATTAGTAAGAATGACTAATAATGGGGTTTTTAAAAAATTGGAAAATCTAGGGTGTACAAAGCTAATGATCACATATATATATATAATCTCATATCAAGATTCTAAGATAATTATTTTGTTCTGGTAGCAATTGGGCAAGTAGATGACCTGTACTTGTACTATGACTTTAATGAAGTATTGGTGACTGCACAAATATATAAATAAACATAAAGAGAGGGCAATCTAAATAATATTTTCAGAAATCATACAATTTAGTTGCTATATATACTTTTAATATCACAAAAAGTGATTTACAAAGAAAGAAAAATAACAAAAGACAAAAGAAAATGTTTGCTATTTGGGAGCTGTTTGCAATAAAGTTACACTATTGCAGTTGACGTTGTGGTGTTAATTTCTGCAAGAAATCAAAAATATTTTGAATGGTCCCAAACAGCAGCGAATGGTTTTACTTCATTCGGCATTTGAACTTTAGTGGATAACCCTGATATTGAGTAACAATGGAATACAGTGAGAAAGGTAGTTGACATCACAGTCTTTATTGCAGCAAGAAATTGAAAATAATAATTCAGTGCATAAATAGTGTAAGGAGAAATATAAAATAATGCATATTTAGAGTCGGGCATAATATAGTAATTACTGATACTAAGTTACAATGGCTCTATGTATCAGAAAAAAAGTCAGGTCTAACCCAACACTACGCTGGTAAAGTTTAAGGAGCTGATTAGACCCAGGATTTTGACCATATCGGTGTTATACCCATTAAAAGATATATTGTGCTAAAGACACAGATTGATTGGTTAAACAATGTCTAGTTTAAAGTTATTAGATAGATTTTTGGAAATTACGTGTATAGTATAAACTTCAAGACCCCTAGCAACTAAAATTTAAAGGGGCACTATAGTCACCAAAAAATGTTACTTAATGAAGCAGTCTTTGTGTATAGATCATGTCTTTGATGTTTCACTGCTCAGTTTACTGCCATTTAGGACTTAAATAACTTTTGTTTCTTTTTATGCAGCCCTAGACACACCTCCCCTGTCTGTGACTGACACAGCCTGCATGAAAACAAAATGGTTTCAAATAGACACCTGTAACTAGGGATTACTTAGTATTAGTAAATTCTGCCCCTACTCGCTATACTCGCTATGTAACTTACTTTAAAAGTTTTAATCTTCTGATCTGTAAATTGAGATTTAATTACATACAGGAGGCTCCTGCGGGTTCTAGCAAGCTAATAACAGAGCAGGAGATAAGACATTCTAAATTAAACAGAATTTGCAATAAAGGAATTATAAACATTAGATGACTCTTTACAGGAAGTATTTAGGAAGGCTGTGTAAGTCACATGCAGGGAGTTGTGCCCAGGGCTGCAGAAACAAAGTGATTTTACTCTAAAATGGTAGGTAATTGAGCAGTGAGACTGCAGGGGCATGTTCTATACACCAAAACCACTTCATTAAGCTAAAGTTGTTTTGGTGACTATAATGTCCTTTTAATACATTGTTAAGTAATTTTAGGAGCCCGGCGGGTGGGGGCTCTAAAGTAAAATAGGGGGGGGACCTATTGTCCTCCCCCCGGCCCCACCCCCGAGCGGCGGATGGGGGCCCTAAATTAGAATAAGGGGGGACCTATTGTCCTCCCCCTTGTCCCCACACCTGAGCGGCTGGTGGGGGCCCTAAATACCAATAAGGGGGGGGACCTATTGACCTACTAGGCAAAAATGACATAATTCTATACTTGCTATACTGCGAGTAGGGGCATGTCTAGTAAACATCAGCCTGTGGCAAAAGGTCCCCCCTTCAGTTTAAAAGCCCCCACTCGCGCGGCACGGGTGGGGGCTCGGGAGGGGGGACACTTTTTTGTTGTTGTTTTTTTAACACTGTTTACTAGACATGCCCCTACTCGCTGTATAGCGAGTAGGGGCAGAATGTACTAATACTAAGTAATCCCTAGTTACAGGTGTCTATTTATTCTGTATTTCATATTCTTCCTTGTCGTCAAGTATCACAGGAAATGGAGGAAGGGTTAACATAGTATAACGATTGCAGAGATGTGGTCACAACAAGGAAATATGAAATACATTAGGAATTCTGAAATTTCAAGGATATTAGGTCCCACCGCCTTTTGGTATTTAGGGCCCCCACCCACCGCTCAGGAGTAGGGGCCAGGGAGAAGGACATTAGGTCCCCCCCTTATTCTAATTTAGGGCCCCAACCCACTGCTCAGGGGTGGGGGCCAAGAGGGAGGACATTAGGTCCCCCCTTATTGGTATTTAGGGTCCCCACCCACCGCTCAGGGGTGAGGGCCAGGGGGGAGGATTAGGTCCCCCCCTTATTCTAATTTAGGGCCTCCATCCACCGCTTGGTGGGAGGACATTAGGTCCCCCCTTATTGGTATTTAGGGCCCCCACCCACTGCTCAGGGGTTGGGGCCATGGGGGAGTAAATTAGGTTCCCCCTTATTCTAATTTAGACCCCGCAAACCCCGCTCAGGGGTGGGGGCCAGGGGGGAGGACATTAGGTCCCCCCTTTTTGGTATTTAGGGCCCCCACCCACTGCTCAGGGGTTGGGGCCATGGGGGAGTAAATTAGGTTCCCCCTTATTCTAATTTAGGGCCCCCAAACCCCACTCAGGGGTGGGGGCCAGGGGGGAGGACAATAGGTCCCCCCTTATTGATATTTAGGGCCCCAACCCGCAGCTCAGGGGTGGGGGCCAGGGGACAGGACAATAGGTTCCCCCCCCCCCCTTTTTCTGATTTACGGCCCCCACCCACTGCTCAGGGGTGGGGGATGGGGGGGGAAATAGGTCCCTTTAGTTTAAAAGCCCCCACTCGCGTGGCATGGGTGGGGGCTCGGGAGGGAGACACTTTTTTTTTTTTTTTTAATACAGTGAGCAGCCACTAATCCTAAGTAATTTTTACTTAGTTTTAGTAAATGTACTGTGAGAATTAGGGAGTTATCTACTAAGCGGCTGCAAGAAAAGTCCCGAAAGGCCGAAGTTCCGACATTCTGTAGTGCCGAAGTGCCGTGCCGAATCGAAGTCCCGAATTTCGGAATGCCAAACCGAACCGAAAATTTTCCCCATGCACATGCCTAGAAAATATATTTACCGGGCAGCACAGGCTACTCTCTTGTTCCCCCTTGGCTCGCTGCACATCCGACAGACAGCATGAGCTGGATAATGCTGTCAAGGTACCACTACTGCTTCAGTGTTATGAAGTGTGCAAGGAGCTACTTTCATAATGAGAGCTGGTCAATAATGGATCCCACAGCTGTAGGGCCCTCAAAGCACAGACAATTACTACACTACTAAAAATTAAATCACAACATCAAATAAAAACCTGTAACTTGTCTCAAACTCTTTTCATGTTCTCTGTTCTTTTAAATTTATATTTAAAGACTTACCAAATGTCATCACATTTCAGTTTAGTCCAGGCACATCCAGGGTAAACATTGCGAATGAGCAGGAGAAATAGAAGCCTTGTTTCATTTCTCCTCAGCTCCATATGCTTTCTCTATGCTGACTGCCAGGTGCAAAAGACAGAGCCTATAACAATGACTGACAGAGAGCTAAGATGGAAGCATCCAGATTCAAGATAAAAATTAGTGGATTTCTACTTTTACACCTCACAAATACATATATGGTAAATATAAGGTTTAAAGGAGCATAATAAAAATTTGTACGGCGGAACAAAAAAGCAAAAGGGGCACTGTGGATTCGCCCAAAAATTTTCAAATTTTACCCCAGTGTAATGCGTCATCGAATCTAACTTTATTTTCCTCAAAAGGTGCGCATTAGATTTAAGTAAATACAGTATATTGTGCTGCCCCAACTCTTTAAACATATTCCCCAAATACCGCCCTTAAACTGACGGTGTGGCTGGTGCTAGGAACATGTTTCACACAGGATGCCTGAAAGCCTAAGGACATCTCTGTCACCAGGACCCAGAAAATTGATATGTGTGATACTGAAAGAGCACCTGTAGTTGAGTGGGATCTGGTGAATGTCCCTGAACCGATCCTTCTCTGTCTATGGGATGTGAAGCATGGGATGCCTTACAGGTGACACATCTCTTATTATTGATTCATAGTAGATTATGCTAGATCCCATAGGTAGCTATAATTTAGTTTCCAAGGTCAGTAATGGCAAACCTATGGCATAGGGCCAGAGGCACCCAGTGGTGCCTGATGGTGGTATTTAATTAGTCACAAAGAATTAAGAAGGCCAAAATACATTTTTAGAACTCTAAGATGCAAGATTCACCATGACATGATCATAAATATATTGCTGCTAAGCACCATCACGCAGTGTACTGGCAAGGAAGCAGGCAACATTAAAGGGAACACTACAGGGTTAGGAATACAAAAATGTTTTCTTTCTAACACAATAGTGCCCTAGTCACAGTTTAGATGGCAGCCCCCTACAAGGGATAAATTGAACTCCTTGAGGGTTAATTTACCTTGTATCCCACACCACGCTGCTCTGCCTGTGGTTGGTCCAGCAAAGCATTGGGATGCTAGTATGCATGCACATCAAAAGCGGAATGAGCCAATCCGAGACCATCTGATACAAAAAATAGAATTTTACTTTGCTATTCCTCTAGTAGCCATGTTTTCAGATACAGGGTTAAAAAGGGTGACGGGGGGACATGACTGAGGTGTCTACAGAGTCGCCTTTACTGGAATGGCGAGAGTATGAGTGGAGCAGTAAATACCAATGGTGAATATTGATAAAGCAATAACAGATTAAGGATAATATGTACTAATATGTAAGTCAAAAGACAGGGGCACACTTATGAAAAAGAAATACAACAGAATAGAGTATATTTTGAGACAGAAGAAGGCGATGAGGTGGATTTAAGAAAGGACATGGAGATGTGTGAAAGAGGGGGGCATGAGATGGAGGGTATGGGAGGATTGGGAGCTGTGAGAGGAAAGGGAAATTTAAATGTATCAAGGGAGAGTACTTTCATATGGAGAGAATGAGAAGTTGAAATCAATAGGAAATCTGAGATGCAGGAAGCACAAGGGGATAGATAGAGAAGAAGGAACTTAAGGTGGAGGAGTTTCTTATGGAAGGTATGCAGTATAGATAATCTGAGATGCAGGAAGTGGAGGTGAAGAAAACCAAATGAATTGAAGTGGATCTAATGAGTACTGTAGAGGGGAATTAAAGAGACACTTTAGGCATTGTACCCTCTTCACTGAAGAAGTCCCTGGCGTCATTCTGCTGTTCAATGTCAAACCATTTTTGAATGGTTTAATGCTAAATGGGAGTTCTCAGTAGCCCAGTCCCTTAGTGCTGCTTGGGCTCATGAAGCATTAGCCTGAGTATCAATGAGCAGCTGTGATTGGCTGCGAGTGCCAGCTGACTGATTTTAGCCTATCACTGCTGCCCATTGCTGTGAATTGGCATGACTAAAGCAGCCTTAGCCATACCGCTAGTTGGAGCTAGGCTGTGGGTGGTTGAGGACCCTCATTCAGAGTTAAACCATTCAAAAAACAGTTTAACACTAAATGGAGGGATTACGTGAGGGGACTTGTTTAGTCACTATAGCTCAGTGAGATGCAATCTTTATAATGCCTAGAATATAACATAATAATTATAATAATATTAATTTTAAAAAAAAACATACTAACTTTAAATAACATTATATTGAGTAAAACTGGGATCTGATTGTTTGAGAAAGGAGACGTAACTTAAACAAAATAAATGCCTTTGGAGATGCCAGTGGCAATGCGTTAATTACATACATTATTAGGTCACAAATATTGATATTTATAGAGTGTGAAATAAATATTTAATGCTAAAACAAATTCTCTCTTAACCCAGGGCCGCCATCAGTGCATGACAACCGTGACAATTGTCACGGGCCCGGCGGCCCTGGGGGGCCCGGCCGCCCGGGCCCCACGTGGATCAGCGGAACTGCCGCCGGTGCATCTGCACCAGGGCCCACGCGCTGATGGGGCCCATCAGGTGGCCCAATCACTTAGGGCCACCCAATGGGCCCTATTATCTTCAGGGGCCCAATCAGCACTGTAATAGCGCAACCGGACCCCTTTAAAAAAAAATGCAGCCGGAAGCAAGTGCTGCTGGGAGGAAGTGACGTCCGGTCACTTCCTCCGACTTTACTCCGCGCGGGAAGGAGGACGCAGCCTGAGGAGAGGCAGCCGATGCCCATCATCCCCAGCCACCCTCCTGCGACGAAATGGTAAGGAAGAGAGGAGGGTGGCTGGGGATGAGGTATATGTATGCCAGTGTGTGTGTGTATGCCAGTGTATGTATGTGTATATGCCAGTGTGTATGTGTGTATGCCAGTGTATGTATGTGTGTATGCCAGTGTATTTATGTGTATATGCCAGTGTGTGTATGTATGTGTGTATGCCAGTGTGTGTATGTATGCCAGTGTATGTGTGTATGTATGCCAGTGTGTGTGTGTGTATGCCAGTGTGTGTGTATGTATTCCAGTGTATGTGTGTCAGCGTATGTGTGTCAGTGTATGTGTGTCAGTGTATGTGTATATGCCAGTGTATGTGTGTATGTATGCCAGTGCATGTGTGTATGCCATTGTATGTGTGTATGCCAGTGTATGTGTGTATGTATGCCAGTGTATGCGTGTATGTGTGCCAGTGTGTGTCTGTATGTATGTATGCCTGTGTGTGTCTGTATGCCAGTCAGTATGTATGTATATATCAGCATGCAGTATGTGTATGTATGTTTGTCAGTATGTATGTCTGCATGTATATGTGTGTGTGTGTGTGTCAGTATCTCCCTATGCATGTGTGTATGTCTGTTTCAGTATTTGTATCTGTTAGTGTGTGTGTATTCCTGTGGGCGGGATTTGGAGGCGGGCTTGAAGGGGGGCCCAGACCTTGAGCTGTGTTAGGGGCCCCAAAATTTCTGATGGCGGCCCTGTCTTAACCTATAACTTTCTTGTATATATTTAAGGGGAGCTTTACGAGTGGACGTACGACTGCAGAGTTTGGGAATTGATCAGTGTGCTCAAGGGTCCAGGTGGTTTGCCAACACCCACAATTGTGATGAGAACAGTACACAGGTAAATAAGATCTGCCATCGATTTACGTTCGTCATGTGTTTTACACTAACACTCTCAACCTCATAACATTATGGAGACTATAGTGTCATATTCTAAAAAGTGGTTCAAAGTTCTAAAAGTGGGTCAGTCACCATGGAAACCAACAGAATCAACAAGAATATTCCACTGGGGATTATTCAACCTTTACAAATTTGCACCATTTTTCAGATCACAACACTTTTCATATGTATTTCAGTACATTCCATCTTATAGTTCTTTTTTGTTTTAAAAAAACCTTACACAATCTTGTGCTCTGCTCACTGGGAATTCGTGAGTACTTTGTGTGTGTTGTGCAGATATAGAGGTCACAGATTTTCTACTTGTGATGTGAACACATGGCTGTGATGTGTAGTAGATGCATGTCATACTGGCGGCAACATGTAGTTACTTTCTTCTGAGCTGCGTGTCCCCCCATTCAGTGCATATCGGATGAAAGAAACGGCTCCATCCTGGGCAGGTACAGATGCGTGTGCCAGCCTGGCTATTACAGGACACAGCATGAGGGTAATGTAACAATGTGTGCAATTATTTTTCTGTGTTAGTACATAGGTCTGATTTACTAGTGTGCACAAATATTTATATACATTAATATGTATTTATAATTACATGTAAATGTATATATGTGGTGGTGATCAGTATTGTTACGTATTTGCCCTGTACATAGATTTAGTTTGTGTTTGTATATGTATATATATGTGTGTGTGTGTGTGTGTGTGTGTTTGGTCATAGCTCTATGTGTTCTTTTAATCTGTACGTAAAAACATCACACAGGATCAGGCAGTTCATACCAAGGGGTTACAGCCTGTCAACGCTGCAGTGATGGCTGTGCCACATGTGTGGATGGTTCGCCGTGTCTTGTACAGGAGGACTGGGCCCTCCGTGTCACAGTGCTGTCACTACAAGCAGCAGGAATGCTAGGGGTCTTTCTAAGCATGCTGGTGGCCTACCATTTTCGGGAAAGCAAAGTGAGTAAACATATTTAAAGCCACAAGCAATAAAATGGCATCACTTCTTCTGTACTACACTTAGTCACAATACAACAATGTACTGTGTTATAGCTCAGCAGTAAAACAATATGCAACTAAACCACTAACAAACTAACACACACCTCTTCAGTCCTTGGCCTTCTTCAGCTAACTCTCCCTTTCTCTTACAAACACGTAAATGGTTATTCAATAAAGTGTCGCTGTCTAGGAAGTCAAAATGAGTTTTACATTTTTCAAATATATTTTTTCAAATAATCTCCAAGTCAGCATTGTTTTCATTTCACCTCATTTTTGCCTAAAATTTGAAATTCATTTTGAATTCCTTACAACTTATGCTTTAATCAATAACCCTATCTCACATACTGATTTATTATTTTGCTTGCCCTTTTAGAGAATTCGTGCCTCAGGACTTCTTCTTCTAGAGACAATCTTGTTTGGGTCACTGCTTCTCTACTTTCCGGTAAGTAATCCCCTACCATTACTGGATTATTCTATAATCTGTGCAGTCTCGGAAAATTGCAACAGAATTGCACCTTTTCTGATAAAAAAGCCAAATTGGAAACATTCAATTCTGCTTTTTTGGCTTATAGCATTCTCTTGTCATCTCACCATAGTCTCGTTGGAGTAAATAAAAACTTCAGCACTTTTTTTCCCAAGTGGACCAGCAGTTAAAATGAAACTATCACTTTTATGAAAATGTTGACACTAATTAAAGCATTAAAAATCACCTGTAACCTTTAACCTTTTCCATGCGATGCTTCATGTTTTTTTATTTATATTTAAAGGGATATTATATTGCCCTCTCCCTTGCTCCCCCTCGCCATGGTAAATAAAGGGTTAAAAAGCTTTTATTTACTTACCTTATCCCAGCACTGATGTCCCTTGGCGCTTGGTCGCAGCACAGCCACTTCCAATGTCACTCGTATGTGCCGTGAGCATTTGGCCCTCCCCATAGGGAAGCACTGAAACAAAATAGCTGACACTGAATGTCCTCATGTAGAGAGTGAGGACATCCAGCGTCAGTTAGTGGACCAAAAGTTTGGTAACATTCATGAAATGTCTCTAGTGGCTGTCTGGTAGACGGCCACCAGAGGCTGTCTTAGTGCTGCAATCTAAACATTGCAGTTTCTCTAAAACTGTAATGTTTTACATTGCAGCACTAAGTGCAATAGGGACATTGCACACAGACCACTTCAATGAGCTGAAGTGGCCTGGGTGCCTATAGTGTCCCTTTAAAGATTTAGCAAATTACAAAACAATCCAGGTCAATGGAGGCAGAGCCAGAGTATGTATTATAAATGAGGAGAAATCGATTTTTTTTCCATTTCTAATTTTTTCTGTATGCTGACTACCAGGTGTACAGTTCAGAGTTTATGACAATGATTGACATTTAGAAACATAGAATGAGACGGCAGATAAGAACCATTTGGCCAATCTAGTCTGCCCAATTTTTAGCAGTGCTAAGAATTGTCAAGAATTGTGTCACTTGACACCAGTAAGATAGCACTAGTAACGTAATATGGTGTCACTGTATTACGGCTACATTTTTTCCGTGGATATTTAGTGACACCATAGTACATTACTAGTGCTATCTTACTGGTGTCAAGTGACACAATTCTTGACAATTCTTAGCACTGCTTAGTCGAGGTTTCCCCCTGACAAGCAGATTAGCATACTTACCAATATATGCAGTTCATAACTCAATGCAGGAAGGATGCAGGTCAGGTAGATATATTATCTCCATTGGATGAGGCCTTTTTAGTGACAAGGCAGCAATTGCTTCCCTGTCATTGGTTTTAGACATTTAGTAGGTGTAATGGGCAGGTAGGGAATTGGGAGATTTTACCCTCTGTTATAGTAATATGGGGGTCTTACTGACCCCCATAGGGTCTTTATTTTTTAACTATTTAATGTGGGGCATGGCTAGCAAGTGCTGGCCAGCAGCCTCATAATTTACCCTCGACCCAACAAGTGTTTTTAACTATTGCCCGCTGTATTTAGCGCTGCCTGCAGGCAAATAGTTTGAATTTTTAAAATTACAGTCTTCAATTTGAAGCATTTGGATCTGGCGGCATCTGAACCAAATTCACACCTCTTTTAGGTCTGAATTTCAAAACCTTGACATTGTTGAACTTCGTGAACAATGTCCAGATTTTGCAGTCTGAATGGGCTCATGTGGTTCATACTTTAGTGAATAACCCAGATAATCTTGATTACAAATAAACAAGTTAGTGGGCTCACTAGAAAATGGCAAAGACATGAATAAAGATTACACTATGCAAACCTCTTTATTTCACTGTGCACAGCTATACAGTTGAACAGTGGTAGCAAGAGCATCATAACACATGGTGAACAGTTGTGTGGCTTTTTAAGATATTGAACAATTTTATAGTTTTATATAGCCAGGTTAGGCAGACATGTACAAACTCAAGGCAATAGCTCCAGAAGAAGAAACAAAATGAAGGCGAACATGTTAACAAGCAGTAAGAATATAGTTGTAGACAACTATACATAAACATAATGCATGGTTAAGCTTAGTCGTAGAGTGAGGAACATTTTTAATAACTGCAACTAGCTCCCAGCACACAATTAAAAATATACAGACTCCTACCACAATGACCACTTCAGATCACTGAAGTGGTCATGGTGGTTGGAGTAACCCTTTAACAAAATTTCCACAGTTTCATTTACGCTTTTCTGCAATCATCCATAACTCGTAGGCCATTTGCAGAGAGACCCAGGCATCTAACAAACAATACTTCCCATCCATCATAACTCCTAATTCTGTTGGTGCTATTCCCAAGTCAGCAGTAATTGGTGCACACATTCATGGCACAGACCTGTGTCATTGCTCCCTTGTAGCCAAAAAGTAAAACTGTCATGGACATAGTCTTAAATTAGAGGGACAAAGGTTTAAAAATAATATCAGGAAGTATTACTTTACTGAGAGGGTAGTGGATGCATGGAATAGCCTTCTAGCTGAAGTGGTAGAGGTTAACACAGTAAAGGAGTTTAAGCATGCGTGGGATAGGCATAAGGCTATCCTAACTATAAGATAAGACTAGGGACTAATGAAAGTATTTAGAAAATTGGGCAGACTAGATGGGCCGAATGGTTATTATCTGCCGTCACATTCTATGTTTCTATGTTTCTATGTCATGTGGGAAGGTGAAAGGAAAAGGTTGATGGTGTGAACTGAGGATTTCTAACAGTGAGAAGCTGAAGGTCTAGGTCTGACATGGAGAAAACTGGTGAATAGAGTTGAGGCTCTAACATGGAGCGAGAAGAAGAGGCTGAAGATCTCATACAGGAAAAGTTATCGATGATAGCAAGGTTGATAAATTCTGACATGGAGAAACCAACAGAAGGCTGAAAGGCTGACATGGCAAATAAAAAACTAGTAGAAAATATGAAAGGTGGACATTGTAGATATCACACAGAGTGAATTGGCTAGTTGAAGGTTTGACAAGAGAATAGCTTACAATGAGGCTTAACGTCGGATAGGAGAGACTGAAAGGATGAGTTGAAATAGAAACATGCCAGGGAATAGAAAGAATGAAAGAGGTTCCTTAGCTATAGGTAAATATTCTTCACAACAATCTGTCTGGCAAATAGGATAAGTTGCTAGAATGTTGGAGTGAATTATGAACAATTTGTAAGGATTGCCTTGGGAGAACATCCCGGCCTTTATTACCCCTAATTTTAGGGGACGTTTCACTACTCTCATAAACTCTTTGCAGGTATTCATCCTCTACTTCAAGCCAAGTATTTTCCGCTGCATGGCTCTGCGCTGGGTGCGTCTCTTAGGATTCTGCATTGTATATGGGACCATTGTTCTAAAACTGTACAGGCAAGAGCATCCTATATTTCTCTCCTTTTTTCAATATACGTGATTACAGAACACACATGTATTCAGATAATACTAACACACGGTACTGGTGTTGCTCTAACTCTCTGCAGGGTAATGAAGGTGTTCATTTCTAGGACTGCACAGCGTGTCCCATACATGACAAGTATGCGTTTGCTGCGCATGTTGTCTGTCATTGTGTTGTTTTGCATCTGGTTCCTGGTGGGATGGACTTTGGGGATGCTTGAGAATCTACAGAGAGGTGTTCCCATGGTAATCCGTTCACAGACACGCGAGGGGCTTGTTTTTTACACATGTGACCATGACCGCTGGGATTACATGATGTCTCTGGGTAAGGCTACTTTGTATGTCTTTTTACCATTGAAACGTTGACGAATAAATAAGTTGTGATGGCTGACACCCTTGGGCTACCCCTTTTGACATTAAATGAGAGACACGGTGTGTCAGAATGTCTGGTGTCCAATCTCAAGATGACATGTGAGATGTTGAGGTAAACACATGCCTTCCAACATTTTATATGGACAAAATGGAACACTTTGATTTTAGGTGTGGCCTGAATTTCAAAATCTGGACATTGTTGAACTTCGTGAATAATCTCCAGATTTTGCAGTCTGAATGGGTTTATGAGAAATTGTACTTGAGTTACTATTAACAATTTATGTAACTAAAATGTAGTTACGAAAAAAAGTGAAATATTGCAAGATAAAGGACACTATGTACTGTCTAAATATTTTTTATAAACCATGAACAAAAAAGTGAAAACTTTTAATTTTGTAAATTTATTGAATTTTTAGGTTTGTCTGCAAAGCAATCTATAAACAAAAAATGTTCATATGCTAGCAACACAACCCTTGCTTCACATAAATATTATGCTAATATTGTTCAATAACAAAGTGCTTGGTAGCAGGGTCGCCATCAGAAATGTTGGGGCCCCTAACACAGTTCAAGGTCTGGGCCCCCAGGGCCCGCCTCCAAATCCCGCACAGGAATACACACACAGACACAAACACATGCACTGATACAAAAGGACACATATACACACACACTGACACATGTACATACTAACAGACACACATACAGGCATACATACTGACACACACATGCTGAAAAAGACATAAACACATATACAGACACACACACACACACACACATACATACATACATACATACTCACAGACATACATACATACTGACACACATACATACTGACATACATACAGATATACATACTGACAGACATACATATATACTGACATACATATTGGCACGCATACATACATACAGACATACATACATACTGTAACGGACCGTTTCAGCACACAAGGGGTTAAAACCGTTTAGGCGATATTCCCCCCTTCAGATGCACAGGCACAGCTACTGCAGAATACCAAACTCCCGAACTGCATGTAAGGGAATGCTTCAAACTCTTGAACTGCATACAAGGGAATGCTCGAAACTCCCGAACTGCATACAAGGGAATGCTCCAACCTCCCGAACTGCATACAAGGGAATGCTCCAACCTCCCGAACTGGAACCTCACGAATAGCTGCTAGCAGACGAACAGGAAAAGCACACAAGCGGCTTACACTCCTGGCAATCAGTCTCTAACAGCATACAGTAAATCCCCCCCAAAGACGAGACAAGGCTCCGTGTTGAGGGTCAAGCAGTGGTCTGTTTTATGAGGGCTACCTGCCCAGTATTTATGCAGGTCTCCCACCTGGTGGACACTCCCCTAGGGGACCAAATGGGAGACTGTGACAAAGGACAGACATGAACCAATGACAGACACACAGAGGTAAAACCTCCCCACAATGCATCCTAACTTCCCTCCCTCTGTCCTGGAGATAATTGGGAAGTAATCCAATTATCTCCCAGCACAGAGGCAAAACTCCATTAACCACATGGCAGTAAAAGACAGTAAAAGACATGTATAAAGTTACAACTGTTGCACAAAACATATACATTCTACCTATCCCCAGATAGCTTAGATCTGAGCGCACAAAAGTACCGAATAGCGCTCAGATCCTATGCACACAGTCCAATCGCCGTGGAGTTAAAGTGTTCACAACGTCTGTTCTCCATCCGACTAGACTCCACGGGATGGCTATCTGGGGTAATGCCAGTTCATACGGTTTAAACTACCGAATGAACAGGCATCCGGTTAAATAAGCCTTTTTCTGCAGGGGAAAAGAAGGCTTTTAACATGGGGCTGTAGTCCAAAGGCAACAGGCGAGCAACCAGGCTTCTCCAATGCAATGTGGCGAGATTGGTCTCGTCACACATACATGCTGACATACATACACAGACAGATATACATACATACTGACATCCATACAGATATACATACTGACAGACATACATACATACTGACATACATATTGGCACGCATACATACACACATGCATACACACATGCATCTCATCCACCCTCTTACTTTTACGTTGCAGGAGGGTGGCTGGGGCTGATGGGAGTTGGCTGGCTATCCCTCTTTATGGCCTCCATCCCACGCGGAGTGAGTTGGGAGGAAGTGACCTGCCGTCACTTCCTCCCAGCAGTACTTGGGGCTGCATTTTTTTTTAAAGGGGCCTGGCCGTGCTATTACACGGCCACAGCGCTGACCGGCCCCCTGAAGATATAGGGCCAATCGGGAGGCCCTCAATGCTTTGGCCACCCGATGGGCCCCATCACCACGCGGGGCCCCGGTGCAACTGCGCCTGTGACAGTTCCACCGCTACACATGGGGCCCGGGCCCCCCAGGCCTGTGACAACTGTCATGGTTGTCACCACCTGATGGTGGCCCTGCTTGGTAGTGAAGGTGTTAATAAAAATGAATGTGAGCATTATTGCTGTTGAGCTCTTGTTTAAATTCATATACATCAAGAATGATGAGCTCCTAGAAAAAAAAAAAGACATCAGGACCGAAAAGAGGGACAGAGGGATTTGTGCTCAAAATAGGGGCCCTCCTAAACAGGAACACTTGGAAACCATGGAAACAGTAACATGCACATAGGAGACCTAATTCTGTAGTATTTGTTTGTTCCTAGCTGAGCTCCTCTTTCTGTTCTGGGGCTGTTTCTTGTGTTATGGAGCTCGTTCAGTTCCTTCTGCTTTCCATGAGCCACGCTATATGGGTCTTGCAGTGTACAACGAGATGCTTGTTTCAGCAGCATTCCATGTGCTCAGGTAAGGCCAAAGGTCACTCATTGTAATGATATTAATGTTATAAAAACAGCTTAGAGACAAACATGGTTTTTCACTAAAGGAAGAATTCAAAGTGAATTTCAAATTTAAGACCATAGTAGCCACTGGAGGCATAACTGACTAGAATGTTTCCAGCTTTTGATCTTAAATTTGAATTCACACTTTAGTGCATAACCATAAAAGTTAATTATTGGAACACAGTTCAATCCATGACTTGTATTCATCAAGTATGTGACCAGGCAGACATGTCCACAATACTAACTTATAAACTGTCTCCACTATAGATTTGTTATGGTCTCTTCACTACATCCAGACTGGGCACTGCTCCTTTTTTTCATCCACACACATGGAACAGTCACTATGACGCTCATTCTACTTTTGGTACCCAAGGTAAATCCTTCCTAAATTACTTTTAGACACATGAGAACTTGTGTGATTTCCAGGAACCTGACCACACTGTGAATGGTTGTTTCAGTTCCTGCATGCAGGGGGCCCTCCACGTGAAGAGATAGCAGCTGAGGTGTACGAGGATGAGCTGGACTTACGACGTTCACGTTCTAACCTGAACAGCAGCATCACCTCTGCATGGAGTGAACACAGCTTGGACCCCGATGACATCCGGGTAAGTATATGAATTGCACACATCAGAGATACCTTACCTTAAATATACAGCAGAAAATAAATCTAGCATAAAACATTACAATAACATGAAAGGACCCTAAGAATAATATAACAATACCACTATGGTGAAATATAAATTGACTGGCAACCAATGCGTATAAGAGTAATCTATTTATGAGTTTCATGACCAATAATTGTCCAACAGCTCTTGCACCTATAAAAAAATAGGTTATACCTAGAACTTTAATTAGGTACCTCTAAGTGTGATATGAGTTTGTTGATGCAACTCAGTAAGCAGAATATCATGGGTAGTTTGATGTGCATCATCTACAAAAATGATACATGTCTTCTCTCACTTCAAGCACTATAACCACAGTGTACTGCACTGTTCCTTCAAACTTTGCAGCTTGACTAATGCAGTACCATAGCAGATATACTTTCATACATAGGCATGTTATATCAAATAACACCTATGTTTGAAAAGTCAATGAATTTAAATTATTGGAGAGAATCATAATGCTTTTAAATAAAATACTTGTGCTCAGTATTTCCCAAATGTGTATTACTTGCTATAGGCACCCAGACCACATCATCCCATTGAAGTGGTCTGGGTGCAGTGTCCCTGTACCCCTTAGTTCTGCAATGTTTACATTGCAGGACTAAGACTGCCTCTAGACCCACTAAAGGCGCTTCCTAGATTCTCACAGAATCTGACTCCCTTAAACGACGTTTTGAATGAGGACATCAAGCATCAGTGAAATCCCATAGGAAAGCACTGATTCCTCCCTCCTCGTCTAATGACATCGGAAGTGGCGGAGCACAACCAGCAAATTGGGTAGGTAAATGAAAGTTTTTTGTTTTTTTAACACTACGTGCCAGAGGGGGAGGCTGTGAGAGTGGGACCAAAGGGCATTATAGTGTTAGGAATACAACTTTGCATTCCTAATACTAAAGATTGCCTTTAAACTTTGACTGCACTATGTAGAATAACTAACGGAATAAGAAGTACATGTGGACTATACTTGATCAGTCTGACCTGGCTACATCTCCTTTATACAGGATGAACTGAAAAAGCTTTATGCACAATTGGAAGTTCATAAAACAAAGAAGATGACCCACAACAATCCACACCTTCAGAAGAAGAGGAGTTCCCGTAGAGGACTAGGCCGCTCTATTATACGTCGCATCACTGAGATTCCAGATTCTGTTACACGGCAATGTGGGCGTGATGAAAAAGAGGGCTCTCCTGGTTCTAGTGGAGGACAGAGGAGAAGACAGCAAGACAGTGGCAGTGTTAAACTCCGTGAGGAATCTTTAAGACAAAGAGTCCTTTCACTGCGCAAGTCACACAGCACATATGATCACATGCAAGAGTCTAAGGATAGTGGCTCTGTCTCTCCTCGGTTGGAGAGCTCAGCAAGGGATGCCTCCCTGCGAGACTCCCTGATGAGACGTAACCTTGCCAAAAATGTGTCACTGCGTTCTCGTGGTGACTCTCTTCGCCAAGCCCCTTTGGTCTGCAAATCCCTTAGTGCCCACAATCTGATGACAGACAAGAAAGCTCTAATGGTGCGTCCAGGTGTTTTACAAAAATCTCACAGCATGATAGGGAGTTCTCATGGAAAAGGCCCACTCACAGGAACCTCAGAAAGCTTCACAGAAAAGGTCACAGAAGGCAGTAGGAACCCGCTTCTAGGAGGTAATTTTGACAAAGCAGAGGTATGCCCGTGGGAGCTACAGGAGCTCCCCTCTTCTGCTGAAAGTCGGGGTCAGAAGCATGTGACTTATGCACCTGGAAAATGCAGCAGTGTGGACACCTCACACGCCTCAGGAAAGCCACATGTCTCTAGGGGGAAAAAATGTGAAATGAGTGGTAAACATCAAAGCTTGGGAAGCAAAGAGGATCTCAGGAATGAAAATGAACAAGACCACATACATGAGCATGTGCAGGAAGATAATCACCAGAAACCAGAGAACCCCTTACCTATCACAGTGAGACCTGGGGCTGCCCAAGTTCAACAACAGAATGCAGAGGAACAGGGAAACAAAGGACAGAGTTCTGAACCTTCAGGTATAGCTGGAAAGAGTCCAGAGCAAGGAAAGGCCACAAGACCACTGAACAAAAATACACTAAAAAGTATAGTTTTAGCAGTTAGAGCATTTAAAGGGTCAGCTCCAGGAAGAGAACTAAAGGAGAGAGAGAAACAGACTGCAGAAGACATTGGTAAAAAGCAAGAAGTAAATATTTGCACACAGGATGGAGAATCTAGCACGAACGTGGATAATAAGTTGAACACTAATGTCCTCGATTTAGCAGAAAACAAGGACTTGTCTTTCTCCTCAACACATGGAGAATGTTTCTTGAAAATGAAACGGGATCAAAAGGATAATACCTCTTCTTCTAAAACATCCAAGCAGACTCCACAGTCAACCAGGTTAGAGAGGATGAGCCAGCTACGGGAAGCTGTTTGCCCATGGGAAAGCATGGAAGGACCACATGATACAACACATAAGTCAAACAGCATAGAAAGCAGAAGAAGTGAAATTTGTCCATGGGAAAGCACAGATAGTGAGGGTCCAGGAGGTCCTCTCAGTCAATCAGGAAGTAACCTATCCTTTCATAGTCCTCAAATTGCAGGAAAAAACAATGGGGAAGTATGGGAGGGTGAAGATAAGAATTTGAGAGCACAAATCTGCCCATGGGAAGGTGAAGAAGTAAAAGGACTCAGAGCAGATATCTGTCCTTGGGAAGTGAATGATAGTGAGGATCTAAGAGCAAAGATTTGCCCCTGGGAGACAGGTGAAGTGGAAGAATCCTCTAAAGGAGCCCTGAGTGGGCGAAACCTAGTAGTCAAACTAGAAGAATTGGGAAGGCAGAGAGATGCAGTGTGCCCATGGGAAAGTGAGGAGTCAGGAGGTTCCCCTGGGCCTCTCAGCCAGTCACACAGTAAAACATTTGATGGGGGGCCTATTCAGTCTAAAACATCTGATAGTTTAGATCTGGAGGCACGACGGGGAGAGATCTGCCCTTGGGAGAGTCTGGACTCTGAAGGGACTCCGACAACACTGAGTCAATCCCAGAGCCATAGCTGGGACCATGCAACCAAGATCCAGGTGGAGTCAAGTCCTTGGGAAGTACCTCAGAGCAGCAAGCCAGGCCACAGTCGACTTAACAAGTCCCAAAGTAAGCAGGATTCTGTGTGTAGCGTGTCAAGTGAAGAGCCAAGGCCACTGTCCAAAATCATGAGTAAGAGTGAGGGACGAATGGGTGACCTGTACCCTTCAGTTAACCCTACACAGCAAGGGAAACGTTTGCACCACTCTCTACGAATACAACACAGGGGACTTGCTGAAGAACAGGTGGACTGCACCACAAACCAGCAAGGGACTAATGTACATGATACGGCTACAACCAGTGAAAATTCCACCTGCAATCTGTCTGAAATATGTCCCTGGGAGGTGCAGAATCAGCCGTTGACAACCATAGAAAACCAGTCCACCTCCAGTAAAGCAGATGTCTGTCCATGGGACTTCCAATAATAGGTATTCATGTCAATGAATTGGTAGACTGATGTTGGATGCAATGTGTGTACATATTGTTGGCTTATGAGAGACAATTCAAGGATAATGTTAATATCAAGCAAGATATGCGGGATGTGTATTCAATAGGGAAAGGTCAGATAAATGACTATTCTGCTCTCAAAAATAATCAAGTTTTATGGTAGAAATTGACCCTTTACCTGTAACTGAACCATAAATAATAAATCCTCCTTTCTTTTCATTGCTGAAAGTGTTTACATATAGTAAGAAAAGCATGCATCATTAAAAACTATCAAGCTGCTACAACAATGAGACAATCAATTTAACAAAAATGGTACAATAATATGTATTGGTGTGAAGTAGGAACTATAGAGGATGTGGGTTGGTAAAATAGTCTACAGCCTAGAGTCTACTAGATTTGGGTTTTTCAATGTCAGTTGTCTATGCCTTAGACAACTGACATTGAAATGCCCAAATCTAGTACACGCGTGTCAGTGTGTGTCACAGTGCCAATTTGACATGACTTGAGGATAACCAGGAATATTAACTTAAACTGTTGTCATTAATGGTAAGTTTTCAGGCTGGACAAAAGTGGTAAGTGGTGTCCCTCAGGGTTCTGTTTTGGGACCGCTTCTATTTAACATATTTATAAATGATCTTGAAATAGGCATTGAAAGCCATGTATCAGTGTTTGCAGATGACACAAAACTTTGTAAAGTAATAAAATGTGAGCAGGATATTGCTTTCCTGCAGAGGGATTTGGATAGATTGGGGGACTGGTCACTAAAATGGCAGATGAAATTTAAAGTAGAGAAATGAAAATTTATGCACTTCGGGGTTAAAAATGCACAAGCAATTTACACCCTAAATGGTTGTGAATTAGGGATAACCACACACGAGAAGGATTTGGGAATTGTTATAGACAACAAATTAGGCAGCAATATGCAATGTCAATCTGCAGTTGCTAAGGTCAGTAAGGTTTTGTCATGTATAAATAGGGGCATAAATTCTCGGGATGAAAATATAATTTTGCCTCTTTAAAAATCGCTGGTAAAACCACACCTTGAATATGCTGTGCAATTTTGGGCACCTGTTCTGAAGAAAGATATCCTGGCACTAGAAAAAGTGCAGAGACGAGCTACAAAATTGATAAAAGTAATGGAGCATTTTAGTTACGAAGAAAGGTTAAAAAATGTAAAACTCTTTAGTTTGGAAAAACGGCCTCCGAGAGGAGATATGATAACTTTCTACAAACATATTCGGGGTCAGTACAAACCTTTATCTGGAAATCTATTCATAAACAGGGCTATACATAGGGCACAAGGTCACACATTTAGGCTGGAAGAAAGGAGATTTCATCTAAGGCAAAGGTTTTTTTACAGTAAGAGCAATAAGGATATGGAATTCTCTGCCTGAAGAGGTGGTTTTGTCAGAGTCTATACAGAAGTTTAAACTGCAATTGGATAAATACTTGCAAAAACATAACATACAGGGATATAATTTCTAATTAGTGGGGTAATAGCTGCGTGATTCAAGGAGACATCGGACTGCTATTTTGGGGTCAAGAAGAAATTTTCAGACTTGGTTTTTTGCCTTCTTTTGGATCAACAGCAAAAAACATATGTGAGGAAGGCTGAACTTGATGGACGCAAGTCTCTTTTCAGCTATGTAACCTTACATACAGACTTGTTCATACTAAATATATGATATGCATTTGGAATTGTTTGTCAAGACCAGTTGTTTACAGTCCATTACTCCAGCAGAGTAATGGCCCAGGTTTTATCATTGTCGTCATTGCAGGAACTGGAAAAAGCCCAGGATTCCTGACTCTTGGTGTGCCTTGTGGAATAAATTTGGAACTACTGGTCTAGACTCCACCTTTTATTTCACAAGGATAATCCACAGCAAGAAAACAATTTTGTGGTAGAGTGGTAGACGAAAATATTTATGCCAAAAAAATATTTAATTATAATAAGACAAAAAGGAAACAAAGCACTTTTAATAGAACAGTGTTGGGCGGGTCCAGAATCCTTTGCAGATGGAGTATGTATCCCACTGTGGCTGGAAAAATTAATCCTAATTATGCAGTTCAAATATTGTTCATCAGAATGGTAAAGTCTTCATTTATGCCATTGCTGTTGCGGTGATTCAGGCACCTCTTGAATAAAGTCCTCTACTTCTTCCCATGGCTGTAAGTTTGGTCCTGGCAACACCACGGTCTGCAATACAGAAAAATACAGTTTTCATTGGGCAACATAACCTGTGTACTATTTCAGAAACATGTGTACCATTTTTTTCAGTTACCTTAACAATTGGTTCTTTTGGTGGAGACCAAGAAGGCACAATCTTCCCATGCATTCTCCATGTTCCATATGGGTTTGCCATATGACGCTCGAATACCACATACTCTAAAACATCTCTAGGTTCATCCTTTCCATACTGCACTCTCCCAAACCGATCATAGATAACCAGGCTCTGTTATACAAGTGGTATTATGTGACAAAAAGCATACAAATACATATAAAGAGTCCACAAAAGAAGATATAAGAGGCATATGGAAAAAGTATTCTAATAGGGAGAGCACTAATTAAGTCTTATTAGTTGAACGATATTAAGAGATGGCAAGAAAATGATGCATGGGATAAACTAGGAAAGGGTTTAAATTTTCCTTACTCATGAATTAAATTATGAAAAGACATAATGCTATAAGTTAGCACGTAAAGAGAACCAGTAATAAATACAGAATGGTCCATAGAATTAAAAGGGTAAGGGATATTGTACAAGTGCTAAAAAAATGCTAGGAAGTGAAGAAAATATATTGCTTGGAACAAGGAGGGACTAGATATATGCCCAGTTTATGAAAGAAGGAACATATTGGGGTTATGCTCTAAAAATTACACTTTTCATTGGTTTCCATGATGACTGGTTCACTTTTGGAACTACACAAAAACTACTCTTGTATTGTGTCCATATGAAGTTCTACAGGAGGATATGGACTTCAAAATGATGACCAATACGGACTTCGACAGTGAGAGGACTCTTATACTCACAGTAAAGGTAGGAGAAAAAGTACTGAGCAGTGTCAGAGGAAATAAAAAGTCAATCTTAAGTAAATCTTTGATGCTATCACTCACCTGTTTGGTGTGCATACGAACTGTCACCTGCCCATACAAGTTTCCCTTGGAGACCATGTCAGGACAGCGAACCTGCACAACACGAGGAGGCTCCAGAGATTCAATAAACCTCCAGCGTATAGTACGATATCTATTGCCACGCACCATTTCCTGAGAAATCAAGGGGGAATTGCATTGATGTGCAAAGGAGAAAAGGCACCAGTTACAATATTTGTGGCAGGAAATTAAGAGAAACACAGGGAGGCGTACATAAATTCTGCCAATGATTATCTCATATCTGCATTCAACAGTACCCACCAAACGCCTTGCTTGCAGAAATCTTTAATCATAAAAAGGTGCGTGTAAAAACTTGAGCATGAAGTTCATAAGCGTATGGTGGGTACAGGTGCATAATTTCCATCTGTAACAACATTTATGCATATTAATTTTTTTATTTTGAATTATAGTTTTGTGGCAAATTTTTCAAAGCTATTAAAATATCCATAAAATACACAGTCACAAAGCCAACATAAAGAACCCTGGATGGCAAATTACAAAGGAAAGAAAAACACTATAAGGGAGAGACATCTCGTGCCTATAACCATGGACTGTCTCACAGTTAAAGCACAGCTGCCAAATGTCTAAGAAAGTATCTTTTTGTCATCTAGCTAGGCTGTTTTTTTTTTTTTTGAAACTCCTGCCAAGAGGTGGGAAGCTCTTGCAATATGTGTAGTGGGTGGAAACACAGAGTGAGCTTATCTTCATTTCATTTCAAATTCAGTTATTTTATTCACTTTTTTTAATGTAATATAGGGCTTAAAATTTCAAGTCATACACTACTACCCAAGTTACTCACCACTGCAAGCATGGTGGGTCCATGAGACACTTAACAGGGGGTGAATATTTACTCGCCAATGGCTAGCAACAAATGGAAATGTTGATCCTTTGTCATAAAGTATTTGTATTTTGAATGGATATCAGGTCATTACTGGGTGTCAGTTGTGCATGACCTCTGCAGAGTAAGGGTGTCATACATACGACCCCTCAAGACATATGTATAGGATGAGTGCAGTGGGGACACATATAAACTTTGTTTGCACACTCCCAACTGCTTGATTTATCTGTTGGGAGGAGCCTTCATTATATTAAGACCACTTGGCAGAGATAACGCCCCAGGTGCTTGGGATATCAATAAAGCAATGTGATTCCTGTATTTCCTCAGTGCTTATTAAGTAAGCTAACTGAGTATTTCTCTGGTCAGTTTTCATCAATTTGTTTAAGTGATGTGTGTCCTGGGAAACATGGTGGATGTGGCATCTCTTTTTGTACTTGGCAGCACCAGCAATGAGGTCCTATTTTAGTGCCATGATGCTTAAAAGCCATCAACACAATGTGAAAGGGCAGTGAGGGACAAAAATATGAGCGGTGAAATGTTCTCCCCCTCTCCATTGAACTATTAGTGATGAGGCCCCCTTCCTGTATGTAAAAAGTAATATGTATGTAATAAATATACACATTATTTAAAAAGGGAAAGACTGAAAAAGGGCTCATACACAACATTTATGTTATTCAAGGACTCCACAGTAATACAACTGTGTATTCAAAATACACTGTAAAATTCATTTTGCCATTAAATCTGTCCTTCAATGTATATTGCCATGTAAAATTTGTCTCTCCATCACAAATTACTTTTACTAGTAGTGTCCAAATGGGAGGATGGGGCAGTACACCTCACGTGACAGGGTAGAAGAGGAACCACACACTTTTCTCCCGTCAAGCTTTGTAACATTGTGAAATTGACCCCTTTTACATCTCTCCTTACCACCCCATTGTCCCTTTACTGATCTCTACATATCCTTTTCACCCTCTTTTGTGTCTCTCCTTTGCCCTTGTACAATTTTCAATACCCCAAATTACTCTTTTAGTGTGTTGCTTCATTCTCTTTTACCCCTCACCCACTTGTGTGTTTCCCACTGTGACCACACTTACAAGGCTCTGGTTCCAAGCAGCAGTGTGAGTGTGGGGAGGGTGCAGGGACTGATCATCCTATCATATTCACTCTACATTCACCTTTCATACTAGGATCCTGGAGATAAGGGGGTGTGGAGAGATACAATAAAAATTGAGAGGGTGCAGCAACAAATTTTATTTATTTTAATTTCAGAAGTGCTATTAAGCAGCTTTATCCCTTGTTCCATAGATCATAGGTACACCTCAGAGTTTTACATTTAGGATCTAAGATTTACCATGAGAATGACTATGACTGTCAGTTCCATTGTATTTACTAGCACAATATTAATTATTATGACTGTGAATCATTATGTTAATTATTTGATTACTGTGCATGTGCTTGAGTGTTTTACTTACAGGATAGCATCTTTCTGTCACCAGTGTGTGCAATTTATGGCGGTCAAACCTGGACAAATTATAAAAATAAAAATAAAAAAAATTATTTAAAATTTACTTTCTAGCATTCACAATGCTTCTTGTCTCAATGAGAGAAAATATAAATTATATAGGCACAATAGAGTATGCATATGTAATATATATAGCATGACAGCCTCTCATATATCAACAAACCGGTGTAGATTTTCATGCCTGTTTTTTTAATTAAAAAAAAGCCAGTATGGGGGGGGCGGGGCCTGGACATCATGGCGGCTGGACGCACATCGTGTGAGCTCCGAGCTAAATTCCTCAACTAAGCCTGAACCTAGCCAGCCAGCCAGCCATAACGCCACGAAAAGAAACTTACCTACCTCTGGAGCCAGCAGAGGAAACCCGGGTCTGTCGCCTGCGAGTACACTGCAAGGCTGACGGAGGTCGGAGGAGTGAGGCCTAGCACGGCCGTCGGACGGGGGAAGCGGCCGACCCCCCGCTCGGTGTGCAGCTGTGCAACCCCAAGCTCTTCTCTCAGCCCTGTTTCCCCTCCCTTTGGACCGGCGGGGGTCATCCCGGTCCGACCAGGCTAGTCTCAAGCACGAACCAGCACCACTAAACTACAACCTAGCAAAGCGCACAAAATGGCGACCTGTCGTACCCAGTGGGAACCAGCCATCACGCAGTCTGAGACGGAACTGCTAACTCCAGCGCAAATAACGCAGAAGAACCTGGATGACATTTTCAACTGTTTCTGGGCTAAGCTGAAAGCCCGTCAAGCCACAGCAGCATTCCAACACGGGGAGGCTCACGATAGGGTGGTGAGTTGGCCCCCTCTGATCCCCCACACATTAAACATACACAAGCCGATTAGTCAGCGATCACCTAGGCCGAGGGCCAAAACGGGCACAGCCCCACGGCATCACCCACGCAGACGGAAGATCGCCCGCAACCGGCAGAGGCATACCACCACGATCTCCCGTCTACCCCATACAGGGGAGGACTGGGACCTTAGGAGCCCACACGTCCGGGGCAAGAGGATGCTGGCCTACCAACTGGCCTGGGGCAAGAGGGATGCCCAACTAAACCGCCTGAATGTTGCAGCCACCCTAGCCCCCGAAGCGCAAGACTTTCGATTTCCTGCTTCGGGCATTGGCTAAGCGCTAACAAGCTTCTTACAGCCGCACCATCATTGGAGTCCTGATCACAAGCGGCAACCGTCACGGATGGGACTCGCATTCACTATTGCCAGCCTCACAGTACTTCCTCACGTGAATACAATCAAAGGCATCCGAACGTTTCTGTCCATGGTTAATTATTTTGTGCTACCTCTGTGAGATGAGTCATTCACCCTATGCCTCATACAGTCTCTACTTGCTGTTAAAGACGCTTTCCTGGATCCCCTGAGAAATGCAGTTTTACTCCTATGCTCATATGTTATGCCCTACAACTTACACGCTAACCTATTGCAATTATCTTGTATTCCTATCGACTAACAACACTAGTACAAACTTGTGCCAAGCTTTCAACAAAGCTCATCCTCTACACACATTTTCTAGGGCTATGTATGATAATGTTCAGCCTGCATAATTTTCACAGAGCTATACATTTTCTAGGGCTATGTTTACCAACAGTGTTCAGCACCCCATAGCCTCAATAGACTTAGCATGCTCCTACCTTCCTGTATTAATCCATGAAACTAGGCAAGTTAATATGACACACAACTGTTTCTCTATATCTATGTCTTTAATTTGCTATCACTACTAAGCTTACGTTATTATCTTGTTTATCTAACTACTTTCAAAAAAAAAGTGCAATGTCGTTAATGCCATGTGATTAAGAATGTATGTAAACTCGACTGTACCAGCTATTGTGGCAGTACAAATTCGCCTGTTACCCTCATGCACGAACAAAAATAAAGAAAAAAAAAAAGCCAGTATGCAATTAAATGACTAACATAATTTATATTTAAAAGACAAGCATTCAGAATAGCAGCATAATACACATTTATAAGTTTCCTGTACACATTTGTAAGTTTCCTGCAGCGGTAAACAAACAATTGATCTATGATGCACATTTTACTTTTTGCAAAAACACATGAATCCGGCATAAAATAAACAAAACATGCATTGATTAGACACTTTTTTTTTTTTTAAATTCCTTTAGTAAGACAATATGGGAGAGATACTGTGGTACAACTGGAACACCCAAGGTGGATATGTTTATTGAAAAAGTAAAATGGTTCAAGTTACTTACTGATTCAGGCATTCATGTGCAGCAATGAATATTTCCTGTGCCTTCTCTGGAAAAGTCTTACTACGAAATTCACTGTCATATTCTTTTATCTTCCGAATTCTGTGAGCAAAAAATTTTAATTTCACTAGAAAGACACACTAAAGAATATATTACGATGTTGTTTTGTAGCAATGGTTGTTGGAAAAAAAGATATAGAATGCAGTGGAATTTAAGGACCACTATAGTGCCCTGAGGGTGCCCCCACCCTCATGGCCCCCCTCTCGCCGGGCTGAAGGGGGAGGAAGGGGTTAAATCACTTACCTTTCTCCAGCGCCGGGCTCCCTCGGCGCTGGGGACTCTCCTCCTCCTTCCGACGTCATCAGCTGAATGTGCATGCGCGTCAAGAGCCACGCATTCAGCCAGTCCATAGGAAAGCATTCTCAATGCTTTCCTATGGACGCTGGCATCTTCTCACTGTGAAAATCACAGTGAGAAGCGCGGAAGCGCCTCTAGCGGCTGTCAGACACTAGAGGCTGGATAAACCCATATGTAAACATAGCAGTTTCTCTTTACAGCAGGCAGGATTAAACCTAGAGAGACCTGGCACCCAGACCACTTCATTGAGCTGAAGTGCTCTGGGTGCCTATAGTGGTCCTTTAAAACAGAGTGAGATGAGTGTGTGATTTATGCTATAGAATTAAGAATTGGTTGCAAATAACGGAAGTGGAATTAGGATGGAACAGCCTTGGGTTACAGTTTACGAAACGTATGACTTGAATAGGTAATTCCAAAACTTACGCAAGCTGAGAAGCTGCATTCTTTTTGAGTTGCTCTGTTTTCTGCTTCAAACCTTCCCTGGAAAGTGTAGATAGACGAGCATCACCTTCAGGGGGCACATATGCTTCAAATATGCCAGCTAAAAGCAAAGAAGAATTAGTAATATTCCTTAAAAATAAATTCATACCACTCTGATCTATGAGAATCTGCAGGCCAAATATTTCTAAAGTACTAGTTCTCTGCCTAGCTAAACAAACCCCCACCCCTCAAATATCACAATGTGCTCCAAAGAAAAAAACAAACAAACAAAAAAACAACATGTTTAGAGTTCATACCCGTGCAGGAAATATTAATTGGGCGCTCTGGGATTTCATGAGGAGTCACCACACCAGCTGCCTTAGCCTTGTTCATCATGTCTGTCATAGTTTTATATTTGCTAGACACAGATGGTGGGATGAAATATCTTTTCTTGGTCCTGATGGGCAGGACAGTTGCAGGGGTGGCCAGCCTGGCTGGATTCAGAATGGCAATCATTCCCTGCAAATAGAGATAAACCCACATTAGGAATGTTCTGACAAGACATAGCTTGTCCTCTGTCAAGAATAAACAAAGTTATATTATGTAAGTAATAAGTATGTTATATTATGTATATTATGTCAGCATATTATATTATGTCAGCATATTATATTATGTAAGCAATAAGTATATTATATTATGTATATTATATCAGTATATTATATTATGTCAGTATATATTATGTAAGTAATAAGTATATTATATTATGTATATTATATTATGTCAGTATATATTATGTAAGTAATAAGTATATTATATTATGTATATTATATTATGTCAGTATATTATATTATGTATATTATGTCAGTATATATTATGTAAGTAATAACTATATTATATTATGCATATTATGTCAGCATATTATATTATGTATACAATAAGTATATTATGTCAGCATATTATATAAGCAATAAGTATATTATATTATGTCAGCATATTATATTATGTAAGCAATAAGTATACTATATTATGTATGTCAGCATATTATACTATGTATATTATGTCAGTATATTATAATTTGTATATTATGTAAGTAATAAGTATATTATATTATGTATATTATGTCAGTATATATTATGTCAGTATATATTATGTATATTATGTCAGTATATATGTCAGTATATTATATTATGTATATTATGTCAGTATATATTATGTATATTATATTATGTATATTATGTCAGTATATATTATGTATATTATGTCAGTATATATGTCAGTATATTATATTATGTATATTATGTCAGTATATTATATTATTTCAGTATATTATATTACGTCAGTATATTATATTATTTCAGTATATTACGTCAGTATATTATATTATGTCAGTATATTATTATATTATGTATATTATGTCAGTATCCTTTTAATTGAGGCAGTCTGCACATCATGTTGCATCTTGATAAGTATCAGACATTTTCTAACAAAATAAACTCCAGGTCTGTTCCTTATGATCTTTACAAATTATTAGCAAAACAACCAACTGCTCTGACAGATTACAATGACAGATCAACAAACTAATGCTATATGTTCACATCCACGACTCCGCCTATCATTTACAACGCGTATCGTCGTACTGGCGCAGTATTCGGCTCTGATGTCACTGTGTAACGCCGATCACCTTTAATAAAAACATGTTAGCATTCACCTGGTCACCGAGTGCACGGAACAATCTGATGGAGGCCGCCATCTTGGCCGCGAAGTCTGCTGGGAGTGACAGGTATCACGTGATTAGATTCTCGCGTCAGCGAGGCAGAGAGTGGGCATGGCTGTATTGTATACATGTCTGGGGATGCACAGGCTTTCAGAATGTCTGTAATGTGGAACCATAGAGTGTGTAATATACAGAACACAGAGTGCCGCCTGTCTATACTAGACAAACTATAGAGTGTTTGTAATATAGTGTATCTGTAACATGAAGTCCATAATGTGTGTTATGCCGTCTGTTAACCCCTTAAGGACTGAGCCAAATGTACATGTTGTGATCAAAACGTAAACGAAAACTTGAATTTGCGCTATATGTCTATTCAGGCGTAATTCACTTCTTTCATATTATGTGCACCCACACTTATTATACATTATTTTATTCGGGGGAAACGGCTTTCATTTAACATCAAATATTTAGGTATGAAACATAATTTAATTTGAATAAAATATTTAACCCCTTCTGACCGGAGGCCGTACAATTACGCCCTATTTTAGGTTGCTCTAAACGCCGCCGGGCGTAATTGTACGCCCTCCGGTTTTTGCCTACTTACCTGGGACCGCCGGCGATCGCGGTGGGGGGGACTCCCAGGGAGCCCCCCCGCGGCACATCCTCCTCCTCCGGTGCCCCCCGGCCATGTGAGAGTGGGGTCCTTGCGAGGAACAGTACCCCCCATGTACAGGTTTTATGGTGTCTTGGAAAGTTATAGGGTTAAATATAGTGCTAGCAAACTAAATTCCCTTTACTTTCGGCATGGGTTGTCAGGCAGGTCCCGCTAATTGTAATTAATTAAGATACCCAATTATGTAAAAATATATACATAAATATAGATGTAGAATCAATATATGTATATATATATACGTATGTGAATATATATATATTTATTTATATATAGGTATATATATAGTGATATATACGTATATATGTATATAGATATATATATTATTTCATTCTAATATCACAATACAGTTAGAACGAAATAACACACATCTATATATTTTTTCATTATTTTTTATTTTATTTTTTATTTTATTTTTTAACGTATTTACATATTAAATTTTTTTATATTATATATAACAATAATTATATATATATATTTAATCAGTATCAGTCTACGTGTAATTTGATATTAATATATATATATAATTATATATATATTAATAGTAAATTACACCTATACAGTGTACGTGTGTGTATGTATATGTGTATATATATACTTAGATCATATATATATAATATATATATATGATCTAAGTATATATTATTATTTTTTTTACACTTTTTAATTTCACAAGGACCTCACTCTCACATGGCGGGGGCTGCAGGAGGAAGATCTGCTGCGGGGGGGCTCCCTGGGAGTAAGGAAAGACCGGAGGGCATACTATTACGCCCGGCGGCGTTTAGAGCCGCCAAAAATAGGGCGTAATAGTACGCCCTCCGGTCTTAAGGGGTTAAAAATGGGAGAAAATAAGAATTTATTTTTGTTCTACATGACATTTTAACTGCATGTTATAATACTGTTTGCTTTTACTGCAATAAAATACACATATTTTTAATCAGCGATGTCTCACGTGTAAAACAGTACCCCATATGTACAGGTTCTATGGTGTTTTGGGAAGTTACAGGGTCAAATAAAGCATGTTACACTTTTAATTTTTTTCACTTTGAAATTTGCCAGATTGGTTACGTTGCCTTTGAGACTGTATGGTAGCCCAGGAATGAGAATTACCCCCATGATGGCATACCATTTGCAATAGTAGACAACACAAGGTATTGCAAATGGGGTATATCCAGTCTTTTTTAGTAGCCACTTGGTCACAAACACTAGCCAAAGTTAACATTAATATTTGTTTGTGTGTGAAAAATGCAACACCGCTAAAAACATACGAACGCTTGCTTCCTTTTCACAAACAGCTAGGAGAATGCTGTTCGGTAGTTTAGTCCCCACAAACAAGGTGAACAATCGCTCCTATGAGCTAGGGGGCTCCGTTCGTGTTTTCATTAGTTTATTTGACTTTATCGACCTCGTGTGTGGTTGGTAAAATGAGACTTCTATACAATTAGAAAACTGCTGAACCGATCTGGGTGATTTTTGAATATGTTGGTCACCCAGATCAGGGCTATCAGGGGATATGTCATTTATGGGGATACCATGTGTTTTAGGGTACGTTCCAACTTATGGGAAAAATATGATTTTTCTGCCTGGAGATAATTGGGTTATCCATTAGCTTACCTAATTATCTCACAGGCAGAGAGGAGGAGATTGTATGCTTGCAGTGGGAGTGTTTCACTTTGTCAATGTAATGCTATTGGTTGTAACTTTTGTGTCCTGGTGCCCCACAAGGTCCAGGTGTAAGAGAATCTGAGATACTGCAGGGGAGGGAAGGATGGAGAGAAATGGAGTGGCTGCAGGGGAAGGGAGTGGGGAGAGAGACACGTGGAGGGGGGAGAAAAACGCTTGGAGTGGCTTGTAGATGAAATGTGACACATGGAGGGGATGAGACACATGGGGGGAAATTAGACATATGGAGGTGTAAGAGTGGAGGAGGAGAAAGACAAATGGAGGTGCCTGGAGGGAATGTGACACATAGAGGGGCTTTAGGGGGATGAGACACATTAAGGGACTTGGGGGGAATGAGACATGTGGTGGGGCTTTGGGGGAGGAAATGTTACACATAGGGGGAGGAAATGAGACACTTGGGGGGGAATGAGACACATTGAGGGACTGGGGGAGGGAATGAAACACATGGGGAAATGAGACACATCGAGGGGGCCCCAGGGCAATTTTTGCACCGGGGCCCTGGGGTTTCTAGTTACACCTCTGGCATCCAGCGTTTTCTAAATCCCCCATAGGAAAGCATTGGTTCAATGCTTTCCTATGGGGGAGGCCTAATGCGTGCACGGTGTTCTCTGTGAATGCGTATTAGGTTCCCTCTAAACAATGACGTTGGAGGAGAAACAGCGAGGGAATGAGGTAAGAGAGAAAAGTTGTTTTTTAACCCTTTAACTGTCGCAGAACGGCCCAACAGAGGGGCAGAGGGACATAGTATGGTGTTAGGAATATAGTTTTTCTTATTCCTAATGATATAGTGTTCCTTTAATGTGTCATGCAAGCCGCATGTTGATTGAGCTCTGCACCCAAGGCCGAAAATAAGCTAAATTTCCCCGGTTCCATTGACCATGGTGAGCACCAAGAAGCATCTTGGTTCTACCTCAACCCAGGAAGGTTCCCCTCGCCGCTGCACAGGCACCCTACACGATTTTATCTCCACGCCGGCGGACCTCAGAAGCCACAACTAGCCAGACAAGATGGCGCCCTCCTCCCCGAGATTGGAGAGCACAGGGGTAGGCCTGGCGGAGGAGACCCCACAAGAAGAGGGCCTAACTCAAATTAGGGCCGAGCTGGCGCAAACTTCGGGGTGCATGTTCACCAAGGCATACACTGGCATGCTGATCCAAGAGTTCCGGACGGTGATAAGGGAATAACTGGCCGGAATCCACTCCGACATCAGCGCTCTGGATGCCGGCGTCGAGGCCTATTACGGGACAGCATTCTTCTGCCACAGGGCTGGTCCGACCACGCACCCGTTCTGACACAAATACAATCCCCCGCATACAAACCAGCAGAACTTCAATGGAAGATGAACGAACACACACTCACTGATATTGATGAGAGACAAGCGACGTGAACGGCCATACTACAATACTTCGAAGAGAACGACACTCCAAATACAGACCCCCTGGTGTACTACGGGGACATTAAATGTGTACTACGGGGACATTTTATCAAAATCTGTACAGCCCGCACAAAAGAACATAAAAGAATGACACAGGACCTAACATCCAAAATAACCATCCTTGAACAACAACATAAGGACACCCAAACGGAAGACGTCTACAAAGATCTCCTAGAGACTTGTAGAGACCTAAAACAGATTCTCTTACAACGCCTGTCCCTACCAGTCCAAAAATCTAACAGGTTTTTTTATGAACACTCCAACAAATGCAGCCGCCTTCTAGCCAGGATGCTGCGGAAACAAAGCCAGATTACCAAGATTGCCACCAGGGACAATACCATCACGCAGCTCCCCGGGAAGATCTCTGACGAATTCCACCGGTTTTACTCAGACCTTTATTATTTACCTATAGGCTACTCGAAAGACGAGCATGCGCAACGTGCATCCCAGATACGGGCTATTTAAACAGCCACATAGCCAACACCCTGACACAGGACTCGAAGGCAGAACTAGAGACCCCTATATAGCTTGACGAACTACGAGCGGCTCTCAAACTGTCGAAACGGTACAGGGTCCCTGCATCATACTACAGGTCGTTTGAGGATGTACTACTCCTCCAACTGCTCAAGGGCCTTAATTTGGTCCTTGAGGGAGGGCAGTTTTCAAAAGACACACTTGGTGCCACTATCACGGTTACTATCATCCATAAAGAAGGGAAAGACCCCTCAACCACCCGATATCCCTCCTTAACAGTGACTTGAAACTCTTTGCCAAGGTCCTGGCACTTCGGATCGGGAGGGTCCTCCCTCATTTGATCCACCTGAACCAGATTGGGTTTGTGCCCGGTAGAGAGGCAAAGGATAACACCAAAAGTGCGTTGATCGTCATGCATGCCGCCCAGAGGGCCAGCCGTTAAGTCCTCCTCCTCTCTACCGACGCTGAAAAGGCCTTCAACCGGGTAAGCCGAGGGTTCATGCTGCAGATACTACAGACGATAGGATTCGGGCTCCAAATGCCCACGTGGAATTCCTAACTCTATATGGAACCCAGTGCACGAATATGGGTCAATGAAGCCCTATCCCAACCGTTCACAATCCACAATAGAACATGCCAGGGGTGTCCCCTGTCCCCCCTCTAGTTTTCCCTCTCTCTGGAACCCTTACTTGAGGCGGTCAGATGGGACGGGGGTATACTGGGGTTCACTTACAAAGGGTTGACATATAAGGTTGCGGCACACGCCATTTACCTAGAAGAACCTATAGTCTCCCTACCAAATCTTCTGAAGGCTTTGGACATGTATGGCAAGCTAGCAAACCTCAAAC